AACTCCACAGGAGCTGCAGTCTGAGCTCCCCGAAAAACAAACAGCCAATCCGTCTCTGTGAGTGAATTTAGTTATATTGGATTTATAAGGCAAGAAAAATACTGTCATTAGTCTCACTGTCAGGAATAATTCAGCCTTTTGTCTCGGTCCTGCTGCTCTACAGCTGCAGGCAGTAATTTATGCAGAAACATAATGGCCTCGTGAAATACACTGGATGCTCCCGGAGCACCTAAACAACACAGGGAGCGAATTTACATCAATTTACATCACGGTGAAAGAGCACCAAAGATATTCTGACAGGATGTTTTATTCTTGTACAGTCGATTGTTGTTGGGTTGAAAACGAAGAATTGATTGGAAATATCTTTCAATTACGTCTTTCTGCTACTGATAATAATCTAAAATGAGTCAACTATTGTATGTTTCGTTATTTAATTAGAGGATTCATTTGAGAAATGTATGACTTTTATTTGACAGAATTGGAATTATTTGTTTCTATTTTGAAAAGCCTTCGTCCCTCCGATGCCCAGATACATAAAACATGAAGAAGTGCCGTCTATGGTGCGTTTCTACTGGAGAAAACACGATAAAATGTTCCTTTTTTAACGTACGTTTTGTCGCAATACAAACAATAAGTGTACAAAACCTTTTAAAACTAGCTGAATTCATTGAATTAATATAAGATGTAACTCTAATTTGTTCGTACACACTCTAGTTCTTTGATCCACTTTGTTTGTTTACGGTTTTGTTCCCCGAAGTCGGTCCCGAGCACCTCCTTCCCAATGACATCACGCAGAAAGGCGGAAAACTCTGATTATTCGGGGACCAACACGAAGTTTGTCATTGCTATCGCTGCGATAGTCATGACAATAATTTCACGTTTTACATTTTTTGGGGGATTTTAATGTTTAAAATACCCGATTGAGAAACATCGCATTGCGTGTTGCGATGTTTCTGGGCACTTATTTGCAATTAAATAGCGTGAGAAAGTGAAAATTGCAATAATAGTTGCGATTTCTTTTTTAAATTTATAATAATGCCTCTAACACTTTGTGATTTATATACAAATAAATAAAAATAAAAATAAATAATCTAACTCAGTTTTGTAAGTTAAAGCAAACGTTCCTAATTAAGTAAATAAAAAATATAAAAGTAACACGGTGTCACTAAAACTTACGAGACTTCCCAGTTTGAAAGGATTACCTCATTAGCTACGTGCTAGGCTAGATTGATTAACTAGCTAGTTAGCTTTTTGTGTTTATTTTTTAGACGTCGTTAACTAACAAACTATTGATTGATTAGCTACTTGATCAAGATTGTTTTTCTAACTTAGAATATTGAGTTAGTTTAACTTAAAATATTAAAAATATTGTTTATATTAAAAAGTTTGAGTTTAATTATTTTATCGTTCATATTGAGCTCAGAATAAAACAATAAAGTTAAATAAAGACAGAAAATAAAGAGGATGTCGGTGATATTCGATGCTCTGAGAGCTGTGCCGTCCTCTGGATGGTGATAAAGGAGTCCGCCTCCAGCTGGCAGTTGGAGGCCGGGAATGACAAAAGGCCCCGACCGGCCTGCTCGCCAGTCCGACCACGCACGGCCGAGAACTCCCACCGAGGTCTGACCGGCCTGAACAACGAGACGCTGCAGCAGAAAACAAGAAGAGTGAACACAGGACGGGAATACGAAACGAGAGGAAGCCTGAGATCCACTTAAAGTCTCTATTTCAGCAGGTTTTAGTCCATAAATCACGTACAGTAATTCTTATATATTCAGTTTTTGGTGCTGGTTCCCGTTTTAATTTCAGCCTGGATATTTATGTATTCCATCAAAGAGAAAGAGAAACTGTGTCACTGCAGCATGAAATCACCGTAATTAATACCAGAGAACATAAGCAGGGAAGTAGTAAACAGTTTCAGAATATTATGTTAAATTTAAATGTATTCGTGGCAGTTATGCAAAGAAAAAGTAGGCTAATGGATTTACAGCATCATTAGAGCGAGCAGAGAGAAATAAAACACGGTTACATGGCCCTCTAATCACGTCCTTCTGCTGTTACATCATATTATATCATATGTTACATATTATATTATATCATATGTTATATATATTATATCATATGTTATATATTATATTATATCTGCATCAGTGTGTGAAATCAGGTCGGTTGGATTCAGGTTACGTGTCGCTCACACTGTTAGCACAACATGATAACACATATAATAAGACATATATTTATAGTCTGATGGATGCAGACGACCTGATTTCATATTTCACACCACACACTGATGCAGATATAATATACAATATATAATACATGATATATAATATATATTATATAATGTATATTCAGCAGCAGTGTCAGCTATGTGAACATTTTTATAAAGTATGTAGCTACATAAAGATTACATTTTTAATATAAAGCTTCTTCTAAACTCCAAAACAATTATATATATATATATATTAAAAAGCACAGAAATCTAATAGATACTTTTATTAAACATTTAAAGTACTTAAGGATTCAGTTAGATAACAGATTGTTTAGTAAACTCAGGTTTTACAGTGTTTAACTTATTAAATTATTCCCCTTAATTGTTAACTTCTTTATTTCCCATAGTCTCGTTTTCTTCCACTGTGCCTACCTTTAAGTGAGGAACTGATTATTATTTAATTGGTTTGTACAACAAAATTAGATTCTTTTACCGAAACAGAGCTTGTTTATCCTTATAAAACATTAAAAACATTAAAAACATTATCCACTGTACTGTAAAGTAAACAAACTAAAATTTTTATGTTTAGCTGACAAAAGAAAGCTTGATATTTAATCTTTTTATCTCGCATTATGATGTAGTATTTAATCATTTTGGTATTTTAGTATTCAGATTTGTTCTTCTAATTTCACATTTTGTCTTCGTATCTCTTGATTTTGGTGTTTTAGTATTCAGATTTGTTGAAATATTTGAAAAGGTTTGATCTTTTAAATTTACATTTTTTAAATGTTAAGCTCATTATGAGCTTCCGTAGAATTCCCATGTTAATATTACTTACTATCTCATAACTTTTCATCTTTTAATTATGTCTTATTGTCACATATTGTCTTAGTATCTCATAGTTTTGATGTTTTAGTATTCAGATTTGTTGAAAATCTAAAAATTTATTGATTTTTCCCCCCCATCAGTTTTCAAAATTTTCAGGCCCTAATGAGCTTCCATAGAATACTCACATGAATGTTACTATCTCATCATTTTTCATCCTTCAATTATGTCGTACTTCTTCCATATTTTGTATAAATATCTCATGACTTTGGCGTTTAAGTATTTAGATTTATATATAAAAAGTTTTTTTTTATTTAAATATTTTTCAGGCCCTAATGAGCTTCCGTAGTTATCATATGATTAAAAACAAAATAGAAAAAAGAGATAGTAAGTAATATTTGTCATAATATTTCATATTTTGTCCTATCTTATAATTTTGGTATCTTAAAATTCATGTTTTTTCCTTATATAGTTTCTTGGCAGTAATGAACTTCCATATTAAAACATACAATAACATCTGTTGTGAGCAGCCTGGTTTCTTTAGATGAGTAAAAGTGATAATACTTGACTATAAAGATACTACAATCAACAGTCCTGCATTAATAAAGTTAAAGTGTAATTAACAGATTTAGATCTACGTCACTGTCCTGGTTTTTATACGTTGTGGCATCAAGGTCGAGTCTGTCGCCTCCGAACTGCAGAAAAAGCTGAGAAAAGATGAACGGATGCAGGTTTTTAATGATGTTTGTGATGTTACGGATGTTTGTTGTGAATATTTATGAGGCGACTCAGTGAATAAACTTAATAAACTTTGACTTTTGCATTTTAATTTTCAACAGCTAATAAAGTAAAGAGAGTAAAAGCACAGTAATGTAAAAATATTCCTTTATAAGTGAAACAATAATATTATATATAACATTATTAGTGACTGAATACTGTAAACATACATTCAGCTGCACATTTTACTGTTTTAAGTTACATTTCAGTAAATAAATACAGTTTATATTCAGATTTTAGGTATAAATATAAACTGTCTACAGCTGAAGATCATATTTAGATCAATATTTAGCTTTTTATGTGTTATTAAATGTCGTAAACAACAACAAAATCTACAATAAATAGTTTAATAGAACAGTAAAATCCTAAAATTTACATTAATGCACGAGTATTACTTTATAAACCTATTTTTACATTGTAGTATTAACATACACATATTCACCATTATAGTTGCTTATTAACGTGAATATTAGCAGCATTTTGGCTCTTTATTAGTCATTATAAAGCAGTTATTAATGTCTTATTCTGCATATTCTACAAATACTAAGACTTTCCCCTCAATAAACTCCTAATTACTGCTTATTGATAGTGAGGAAGGACATGAATTATGATATTAACACGCTCAGTTTGGGCTTTATAAGGTGGTAGAATCACAGATTTAATCATTCTCCCTTAATAACAGTTAATAAATATGATCTATTCTTATGAAACAAAACACAAACAAGTGTTAATAGCGACCAAATAACTCTAAATTACATCTTTCTAACTCAGAATATGTTCCCCATTATAAAGTCTTGCTCATAAGACCTTCAAATTAAACTGTGATCATTTATTATCTATTAGTTATGACTACAATAACTCAAATAAACAGTAATTAGAACTTAGTTAATACATAGTATTTGTAGAATAAGCAGTTAGTGGTGAATATGTACCCTAATAAAGACCGCAGCTGATAATGTGGCTGTAGGAACAGACCGCCACCTGGTGGACAGGAGAGGAAACAACATTTATTTTATGAAACTGTGAAAACTTTTTCTTTGGTTTGTTTCTGTGAGCTTTAATGAGCTCAAACAAACAAACAAACAAACAAAAGAAGAAACAAGTGTCTGCGTTTGGGTCTTTGATCCTAAATCCTGATCAATCAGTGACTGTGTGAAAGGTCCCGTTACTACGGCAACCGGTCAACACAGCCACTCAACAGAGGAAGACAGAAAAAGGACGAAGAGTTTGAGTGACTGGATAAAACTGGTGACACGTGAGTAGTATTCAGTTATCAGACGTGAGCTGGTGGATGTGACGCTGATTGATTGATTGATTGATTATTAGAGCAGTAAAATATTATAATGATTGTTATTATTATTAAACAATCTGAGACATTAAGTGACTTTACTGAAGCAGATTTGACCTTTAACTCAACCTTTATTGATACAAGGTCGTCCAGTGAGAACGGTTCAGTCTCTGCAGCATCAGACAAACACTAAATCTGAATTAATTCAAAATAAAAGAGAAGGAAAGGGCAACAAATCAATATTAAATGATAGGTTTATTTTAAATATCTTCATTGTTCTGCAGATGTGACCATTGCAGGATCAGTGTTGGGCTAAAATGTGATTTATTACTTGTTATTTTATTGATTTTATTACTTATTACTTCCTGCTGACAGTAATTAGTTACATATAGATGAAAATCACAGTATTGTGTTTCTACAGTAACCAATCATATAGTATATATTAATATATTAAATATATATTAATACAGTATTTTGATGTAAAATTACATTATATTGTATATAACTCACAATATCTGGCTTTATTAGTCAAATAATTACCCATCAAGCATTGCAAAAAAAGTAATTACAGTACTTTACACTGTTCACAATCACCAGGTTTTCACAATAAAAGTAAAAAGTTTTATTTTATTTAAAGATAAATCGACTTTGAAACTTTATTTTCTGAATTAAATTGAAGTGATTCTGGGAGGTTTTATATTCACAGTATTTAATTTAACTGATTCTCATTAGTTCTTAGTAATCCAGCAGAGGGCGCTGTAACCAAACATATTGATCACTGAGACACTAACAACAATGTAAAAATACTCTGTTACAAGTCCTGTATTGGAAATGTGACAGTGAAAGTATAATCAATAATATAAAATAAATGTACTTAAAGTATGAAGTTAAATGTCCCCAGTGACTGTTATATATATATATAATATTATTAGTTATTATGACTCAGAAGCAGGATTTTATTGTTGTAGTTGGTTGAAGTGACTCAGTGACAACAAAACATCATATTTTATTTGTATGTTATCGTCTTAATAAGTCAGTAAATGTGTAAAATATCTGTAGTGAAGTATAAAAAGTATGCGGTGGCATTAACAGAAGAGCAGTAGTTTGAGTTTCAGTATTTTGTGTTCAGGGATTGTTGGAGATCTTCATGCTGCAGATTTGACCTTTCTGTCAGAGCTGCTCTCAACATAAGCAGGATTACACCTCCTGTCATACAGCACTTATAGGTTCACTATATGTCTGTCTGTCTGTCTGTCTGCCTGCATGCCTGTCTGTCTGTCTGTCTGTCTGTCTGTGGTGCAAAGTAACTAATGAAATGTACTCAAGTACTGGAGTAAAATGCAACCTTGAGGTACTTAACTAATGGCCCTGAGAACGTGGAAGTACTTAAGTAAAAGAGCCAGAACAATGTAAACATACACAAATCTTAATATAAGTTATCACAACTACACACGTTCTTGTTCTGCAGTAAAATCTCCCGTCTGACTGTTATTATACATCATGTTGTTAGATTAATAATTAATTCATTATATATTCTGTCAATGATTAATATTGTGCATCAATGTTAGAGCAGCATTTTACTGCTGTAGCTGCTCCAGGTGGAGTTATTGAACGACCACAGATAGTACAGCCCGGTGGTTCCCAACCTGTGGGTCGGGCCCCTCCAGAGGGTCACAATAGAAACAGCTCAAACTTCAAGCTAACAGTTGCATATAAATATGTTTTTCTGTGATAGGCAGCTTTAGCTATTGTCATTTTATAGATTAACTAATTAGTTAATTAATCAAAAAATAACATTAGACTAATCAATAACAAAAATAACTGCAGCACTGAATTAAATATCCACCAGTATAAAATGTTTAAAATGCTTTTACGTCCCATACTTTGAACATTTTGTTATTAATACTTTTACCTGAGTAATACTCTCAATAGCAGGACTTGTAATGGAGTATATTGACAGTGTGGTATTACTGTTCACTGACTGTCAGCTGCCAACCCCCCCCACTCTGCTCTCCACATACCAGCAGCACACCTGTGGTTCTCCGTTTAAAGAACCTGGCAGAACCTGAAACACACTTTGAAGAGATCCGCCTGTTGCAGTATCATAAATATTCATGAGAGGAATTTTAGAAGAGAGAAAAGATGAAAGACTTCCAGCGTGTGTCACATTTTATTCTCAAAGGAGGCGAGTCCTGTCAGACACATGGAGAACATCTCATTTTATTTTGATCCTCAGCATATTACACAGACTGAACAACAGGACGAGTAACACTGTACCATCACAGTATAATACAGAATAATAATACTAATACTGACATTCTTTATCAGTACATTAGAAATACTTTAGTGGAAAATGTTCATACTCAGTTCATCCAGGAAGTTGTGATTGTAACAATTAACTCGAATTCTGCACGACCTTGATTTTTTGTCCAATTACAGCAAATTTGACTTATCATTGTAGTTTCCACAAAACTATGTGATTTTATTACAAGTTGCCTTTGATTTTTTATCCAATTATACAAAAAAATGTGCAACTATTTTTGCCGATTTAACCTTAAAAAATGCCTAAAAAGTTGACATCTTTATTGCAATATTTCAAAATCCTGGAGGGACTGCCTACTGCTACTATTTCTCCACCATATATATGACTTTTAAGGTGCATTGTTTAGTTATAGATCAATCTACTCAACAAGGTATAAAGCAGTGAAAACTAAAGAGAAGTGCTGAATAACGCAGGCACAAACACTGTACAACAGTTCAGATATCTCATTATGTTAAACGGCATTAAGCAGTTGAAGTGGCAGTTATCTAAGAAGGCATAAAACAATTAAAACGAGTAGAAAGGTTTCCACTGGAGGATATGAGACTATCTTTCACCACTGTGAGTAAATAAAACTGCTCAGACTCAGAGGCTCCCGACTGGCTCTCCTCCAAGTCAGTCTGTCCCCGACGTACACCTTCGTCTCCAGACGGGATTTCCTGTCTGTCTGAGGGAAGGCCCCGATCTCAGGAACCCACCCCAGGCTCCCAGCACTGGGACTGGGACGTGGACTGGTGGACTGGGACGTGGACTGGGACTGAGGGACAGCAGTGAGCACACTCACCCTCATTATGTTTATCAGGGTCTTTGTTTCCTGCCCTCATTGTTTAGGATGAGCAGGAAGGATGAGCCATCACAAAACCACGACTGTTCTTCCTTTATTCTGTCGCTCTGTTGCTGTGACGTGGGATCTGTCGGGGTTGAGCAGGATTAATCACTTCACACTGTAAAACAAGATTTCAATAAAACTAAGAAATACACAGACTGAGTCAGCTGTAAAACACACAGAGAGAGAATGACAGTGTAGAAGTTGAAAAAAAGGTGACGGAGAAATAGTTTAACTAGATAAAATGCAAGAGAGAAACAATTTAAATGATTAGATTCACTATTTGAAATAGTTAAGTAATATTAATATTAACGGAGTACCAGTTGAAACAGTCAGCTCACAGTGGCTAATAGAAACAGTTGGAATTAACTTAAAGTAACTGAACAGAAATATATAAATATAAAGTGATGGTATCTAAAAGTCATGTTTAAAAAGTTCTAATAGTTAACTGAAGTAATATTTGCCGCTGTAATAGTTTAGTTAAATAGCCTAATGTTTAGCTAAAAATATAAATGGATAACAGTGTTGATTAATGGATACTGACAGTTGGTACTGGGAACCATAATAACTCCTTTTTAGCTTCCGATGTTTAATTATTTGTGTTCATTAATTGAGTTAGATATAATCTGCTTTATATTCGTTTCTTTGTCTAAAGTTCAGTATTTTTTGCTCAACCTTTCCTGGTGTAAACCTGCTACTTTGAACTGTGAGTTAATGGAAAATACAGCTTTCAGTGATTGTAGCTGAATGAACAACAGTATTTATCTGTTCCTCCACAGGGATCACAGATTGACTGACAGCAGCCTCGTATCTACTGCAAACACCGAGTGCTGCTTCCTGCCTTCTCCTGCAGGCCGACATGAGGAAGAAAAAACAGCGACAGCCCAGAAAACCCAGAAAAAAAGAGCCTGGAAATGTGTGTAAAGTATAAACAGAGGAAACATAGACGGTAGTCGGCAGTGTACAGTAAATATAAAGCAACCGGTAGCAACAGGTTGGCTTCTAGGTTTCAAAATATGAGCAAAAACATGTTATTCTCACCCTGTTTTTATACGGAGGAAACAAATGAGATGTTCATTAGTGAGTTTTATGGATATAGATTATTTTCGGACAGAGCCAACCCAGCTGTTTCTCTGCTAAGCTAAGCTAATCACTTGCTGGATGTATGTAAGGAGTATCTTCTCATACTGTATAACTCTATGAGCATATATTCTCCAAAAGGTCAAACTATTCCTTTAAGTTCACCAAATCAAGAATTTCTTCCAGTCATATCAACTTGTTTCACACAACAAAGCATTATCGTTGCAATGATTATTGATCACTCCCTCCAGGATTTCACACTTTTTGGGGAATTGATTCATCGAGTCAATTTCACAGCAGCTTTTCTAAAAAAAAATTGCGATGTCTTTAGTGATTTTTTTCAATTAATTGTGGTGAAAATTGCGAGGCAACTTGTTTATATCAAATTTGTGGAAAAGTTTGTGAACAAAATTGCAAAGTCGCCCCGAATTCATGGTAGAATTTGTGAGGTGAAATATTGAACTACTGAATGGATTCGGGATGATTATAGCGCCATCTTCAGGTCAAAGTCTTGTCGTTGTGAACTGATCATCGCAGCACGTCCAGTCTGAAATACCAGTTGATTACATTGTGTGAGAGATTGTGTGTGCATTTTGGGACATTTTAGATCCATCGTGTTTGTGTAAAAGGTTTAATTATCAGACGTCACACACGATTTGTCTGAAACCCGGTTTAAGGTTTCGATGGACAAAACCTCCGAGGCCTTCGGGTCCGACAGGCCGCAGTTCGAGAGCTTCCTGGCGGAGATGGTGCGGTGGTTTTCGGACCGTCAGCAGCAGGTGGACGAGCTGTTCAGCCACAGCGACACAGACAGAAGTGGATCAGTCAACCTTAAGGATTTCGAGCTGGGTAATCCATCTTCTCTCTGCACCTTCCTCCCCACAGTCTCAGCAGGCTGTGAGAAGCTCTGTTTTTTGACAACACTCACAGTTGTTTCCTGTGATTTATGGTTTAATACGCTGATATCAGATTGAAAACTGCCTTGTAATTTCTCACAGCAGCCTGCAGTGTCTGCTCCAGCTCCTTTGAATGTCAGATACAGATAATCTTGAAGGAAAAAGAGATTAGAAAGAGATATGTGGGTCAGTATTAACCAAATGCCACAGTGTGGTTGTACTGAAGTATTTATGGAGGGCACTGTGAGTCAGACTTTTGATAATGCAAGCAGTGGCTCATTTCCTCTTATCCCTCTCGCAGATAAGAGCAGCTGGCTCTGGGAAACACAACCGGGACAATGTTCCTTTTGTCTGTCAAACTTCAAGAGCTCTGAGTAAACTACACTTTTGTACCGAGAGGTGTTTGAGGAGCTCCTAGGAGCAAGTTTCAAAGCAGCCCTGCAGGACAATAACGATGAGGTTCAGACTGTGATTCATCGGCTCAGCTTGTACATCTTAATGATTCAGAAAATCTTCCCCTCTCAAGATTTAGAAACATTTATACATTTTAATGACCCAATATTTTCTAAGAATGAAAGAAAATCTCGTTTTTGTAACAGTAAATGAGAACAAACTTTCGACATAACAAAATACATTTCTTTGCAAAAGAAGAAATTATGTTCTGCATTTGTTGTTATCCAGAAAAATGAGACACAACACGGAGCAAAATGAATGTCAGTGTCTGTAGCTGTCCAAAGAGTACATAAGTTTTAACACTGATAGAATGAAAATGAATAAAAGTTCCTTTATTTGAGTCCTCGTTAATAAATAAATAAATGCAACAGTTGCAACATGAACAGTACAAACCTATCGATATTGATCAGACTCCATTATGATTGACCCAAGTGTCGCTGGCTGCAGGTCTGATGAACCTGGGCGTCCCCTGTCAGCAGTTTCAGCTCCACGCGCTGACTCAGCAGCTGCAGAACGCCAACGACACCGTCAGTTATCGAGACCTGAGCCGACAAATACAGAAACTGAGGTAAAACAAACAGTTTCCCTGATTGAGGATCTGTTTGGTTTTTGTTGTTATTAACTGTTTGTTTGTTTTCTGTCTTTTTGAGCGACGGCACAGAGACCAACACTCAGATATCAGAGGACAGATGTTCTCCACATCAGCCATTAAACCCTGAAAAAGACAGGTACCTCGTGTGTGTGTGTAAACGTGCTTCAAGACACTACTGTTCTCTCTATATGACCGACATAACAACAAAGAGACAGTTCATTAGCTGCTGCTTCAAGAAAAAATAACAAACCGTTAAAAGTAAAAAGAAATTGGCATAAATTGTTAATATATGACTGAGGATGTAATGTTGTACCTGAGGATGGTTGTTAGTGGGAGTGGGAATAAACAGAGCAGCAGCAGTAATGTCTCAGACAATCAGTCAGAAAACCAGTTCACAAACAACAGACCAACCAAAGCCTTTTATTCCTTGTCACCTGCTCTCTGTGGCCAATCAGGGAGAGGCTCTCTCATCAGGTGGCTTCAATCTCCTCTCGCTCAATACTTCATACTTTATGCATTTGGACAAAATAATAATCACGTTTATCTTCTAAAATATAAACATAATCAAGTTGATAAACCAGTAAACATTCCTGCCTTTAAAATTAACTGACATTACAGCTGAAGACATTACCCATTTCATAATAATATATATAGTTTGTTCTTTATAATTATATATTAATGTGTGACCATCATGTTGCAGGGATCTATAATAATACATCATAATTTATTAGTTAATATATATTTTTATACAGTAATTCCTTCTGAAATGTAGACGAGTCGAAGTATAAAGTAGCATAAAATAAAAATTACCTCAAAACTGCATTAAAGCTGCAATAGGTAACTTTTATAAAAAAAAATAACTTTTTATCATATTTACTGAAACTTTCACGAAATCCTGACAGTAAAACACGAGACAGTTAATGTAATGAACCTCTGTATTATCACCGGGGACAGATAATACTTCTTACTGATTTATAACTGTCTCTCTCAGTCGGTTATTTACAGCAGTAAATCTACAGACACACGAGCGCTCAGCAGCTACGTCAACGCAGCGGACCTCAACGCGACCTGAACACAAGTGTTGTTGCCTTTTTTTGACCTGCTCGCCATAAATGCTTTGTGTGTGTGTGTGTGTGTGTGTGTGTGTGTGTGTGTGTGTGAGAGACAGATTTATGGTGTTTATCAGACAACCAGGAACCGACTGTAAACCACAACAACCTCAAACAGCTGACCTTTCCTGTGTAACCTTCCGCCCTTTATGGGACCTCAGTCAGCTCTCCTGTACTTAGATATGCTACGTGCTAAGCTAATCTGTGTTGAAAAGATATTTTGAAGATGGTTAAAATATTAAAGAAACATCTTAAGTTAATGTTTGCAAACTGCTAGCTAACTAATCTACATCTACATTGTTACATTGCATGTTGCTAACCTTATCTATCAGCTATTTAACTAGCAGACAAATTAAGAGACTTTATTGATCCCATATTGGGAAAATTCACTCGCTGCAGCAGCTCCAGATGAAAAAATACACATTAAATAAAAGATAAATAAAATAGAAAAATACACATTAAATAAAAAATAAATAAAATAGAAAAATACACATTAAATAAAAAATAAATAAAATAGAAAAATACAACATTAAATAAAAAATAAATAAAATAAAAAAATACAACATTAAATAAAAAAATAAATAAAATAGAAAAATACAACATTAAATAAAAAATAAATAAAATAAAAAAATACAACATTAAATAAAAAATAAATAAAATAAAAAAATACACATTAAATAAAAAATAAATAAAATAAAAAATACACATTAAATAAAAAATAAATAAAATAGAAAAATACACATTAAATAAAAAATAAATAAAATAGAAAAATACAACATTAAATAAAAAAAAAAATACACATTAAATAAAAAATAAATAAAATAGAAAAATACAACATTAAATAAAAAAAAATAAAAAAAAATACACATTAAATAAAAAATAAATAAAATAGAAAAATACAACATTAAATAAAAAATAAATAAAATAAAAAATACACATTAAATAAAAAATAAATAAAATAGAAAAATACAACATTAAATAAAAATAAAAAAAATAAAAAATACACATTAAATAAAAAATAAATAAAATAGAAAAATACAACATATAATGAAAATAGATGAAATTAAAATTAGTTATATGTAATATACAGTTTTTTTTATACATGTGATTGATAAGGAACATTGTACAGGGACAAATATATACACAGCAGTATAGATTAGAGGAAATATAAGTAATTAATATACAATACAGATCTAATATCAATAAAGTTTGTGTAACAAATTATATATCTATGTATCTATATATGCAAAAACTAAACAGTACTGGCATTAAATAGTGCAGACAAGTGTTAAGTGTTGGCCGATGTTACAGATTATGTCACTATATTACAATTAATATAGATTAGCGTGTAGGTTAAATGGCATTAAGATATCTAACTAGCCAGATAACTAGCTAATGATTAATGAAGATAGTGTTTTATCTTCTCTTAATGACTCTGACGTTTCCTTTAGTGCCTCATTTGTGTTTTTTACCATTAAATAAACATTAATGTTCCCTTCAGGATAAACTGTAAAAACTTTGGTTTTCCTTTAACTTTAACTTTTGTAGTTATATCACAAAGTTAAAACTCTACTTTGTCCGACACTTTGGTTTATTAACAGCTTGTTAGCTCTTGTTAGCTTTCATTAGAGCATATAAACACACTGTTTAATTAATTTATTACACTTTTGTTCTTGTGTCTTTGGTTTTTGAATTGAGATTTTTAAAAAAGATAAAACTCCAAAGAAAGGAAGTTGTTTGTAAATGATTTATTTATTTGGCACTTCAGGGCCACCGTAGAGTCCCTTATATGAAACAACACAGACTCATGTTCACCACAGTACCTCGCACAGAGCGAACAGCGACACAGACACAAAACATACGTCGGCTTTTATAAAACATGTCAGGTCAAGTTGGTTTGTCGAACCCGTAATTACAGAAACTCAAACAGCTTCACACGACTCTTATTTCAAAGCAAGAATTTAACTCCCCGACTCCCCGAAATAAAACCCCAAACAGACACATAAACAGATCCTGTGTGATCAGACTTTAACTGTCACCAACAGGTTCGTCCGTCTGAGCGTCAGACTGATCCCCTTCGACTCCGCCGCAGCCCATCCAGGGAACTTCGAGGTGGTTTTGTCGAGCAGCAGCAGAGTTTTCAGTGTGATGAGAATAATCCGGGATCGGGTCGGGATCCAAACCTCCAGGCTGGAGGTTTTCCGGAGCAGCGTGCCCACAGAGGAGGCCCGTCTGCCCCCGGAGAGCTCCCTGGAGGAGTGTGGCTTTAAAGGAGGGCCAGAGGGAAGTCCTCCAGAGGACACCGTGTACTACGACTACACGCTGCTGTTTACAGACTGTCCACTCCTCAACTGTGACCATTACTTCAGGTCAACTGAAGACTCTGCAGCCAGGAGGAGGAGGAGGAGGAGGAGCCCTCGTCCATAAACATCACTGTTTTTAGCCATGTTAGCATTGTGGTAGCATTGTGGTTCAGACTGAAATATCTCACATGGATTTTCATTATCAGGATGAAACTGTAATAACTTTAGTTTTAGCTTCCCTTCTGGTAAAGTAGTATAACATTTAAATCCTCACGTAAAGTAAAAGTACTTTATTTATTTTGTGTTGATTCTGGCGCCCCCTGTGGACAGAAGTGGTAGTGTTTGTACACCAGTGGCATTAAAACCTATAAAGAAACAGCCGATCCTCTCACTGATCGTCTCGTCTGTTTATGTAGCTCACACAGAGACATCAGTAATACATTACAGAACAGTAACTTGAGTAAAAGTACTTTTATACAGAAAATAATAAACATTAAAGCTCAACAGGATTAATGTCAGAAAGCTGCAGGGGAGCGTCACACTCAGCACCTCCAGGCCTGTTTAATTACATTCCCAGAGTTTTTATACCAATACAAACCAGTGTTTTTAATCGTGTCCCGGTGGAGGCGGGGTGGGGGGGGGGCACACAGGCCGCTCTGTGTTGGACTCAGTGGAAACTGCTGGGCTAGTGGAAACCACAGAGCAGCTATAAACAGCTGCTGGTGGCGGCCGCTAAAGCGTGCCATGCAGCCGACACACCCAGCAGCTTCCCCCTGCTCGCTCCACCCTGAAACACTCTCAGATTCCAGCTGCAGAGCGAATTCACTGCTTTTATTTATTCACACACACACACACACACACACACACACACACACACACACACAGCGACACAACAACCAGAAAACATCCACTTAAAAACGTTTTCAAAGTCAAAATAATATTTATTCCATAGTTTCAAAATTACTGCGCAATATAAATATTACAAAAGGGAATACTTTGTGTACTTTTCAATATATTTAAACACTGTTAACATTTGGGATGAAAACACAGACGAGGGCTGTAGCAGTCGTATATATATATTTATGTTAATGCTGCTCTCAGATCAGTAACATGTTCTATGATTTGGGACCAAACTACTGACAGTAAAGACTTTAAAGATAAAGTTTAAACATTTTGGGAAATACTTTGTTACTTTTTTCAGGTATTTGTAGTTGAGTTTTTGTTTTTCTGGCAACTTTTTACTTTCATCCGGCTACATTTTTACACAAATATCTGCATTTTCTACTGGTTACACGTTCAAAAACAGGCTCTTTACTGTAGTTTTAATGCATCTGAGGGGAAATATCAACTATTATTATTAATATTTTTGCATCGTTTCACCCGAAGGTGACAAAACAGTGTTTGTACTTTTGCCACTTCTGTCTGTATGTTAATCAGAAGCTACAAACCAGCAGCGGGTTAGTTTAGCTTAACATAAAGACTGGAAACAGACGACATATTATATTATAGTTATGTGAATAATGAGTGTTATAGGTGTTTGGACAGAACCAGGCTGCCTGTTTATCTGTTTACAGTCTTTATGTTTTTATTTTTACAGCAGAAAATAAAAGGATATATTAGTACTGATGATTTTATGGTTTTATTCCAGTTTTTATTGTATAAATACAAGTTTTTACCATCAAAAGAAACAGTTTTACCGTTTAAAAATACCATATAAATGCTGTATAAAAAGTTTTTTTTGCCATGAGATTTATTACAGTCTGTAATATAAACATTTTATTATTCTTAATTATTATTTTATTATATTTAGTCTTTTACTGTCACGGTTTGACATTTTTTATTCAGCTTATAACTTTAACGTTATTTCCCAAAATGTTGAACAATCCCTTTAATACACCCACTGTAGATGCGTGTGTGTGTGTGTGTGGATGTGTGTGTGTGGATGTGAATACTGTATTTACAGATAATAAACTGAAGCAGAGGAGTTTATTTTAGCTGTCTGACTGAATATTTTTGGCTTTATTATTCATAAGATTTTAGCAGTTTTGTTTTTTGACCAGCAGAAACAAACACTTTAACACATTATATCAACTTTTAAGTTAATATGTTGAACTTGTTTGCAAACAGTTGCTTATTTACACATCCAGCAGTTACAGAGCAACATTATGATTCATTTGAGGGAAATCTGCTGTTTGCTGCTGAGCAGGTAGTGTGCAGCTTTTTCTCTGCAAACAGCTCCCTGATATCGCTATAAACGGCGCTATGAGAGCTGTCAGAGCGAGTACAGTTGTGTTGTAATGATAAACATGTTGATTTTAGCCACTTTAAAGCAACATTATGTAACTTTTCTACCTTAAAATAAAAGTTTTATTAGCATTTTGATAATACACTGAGTTGAGTTCATTCCACAGTTCTCGCACTGTGTAACTTTTGGTTTCGGGTTGTTACGGCAGTAAGTCAGAACAACTGGAACAGGAGGAAGATATGGAGTCACTGCTGGTTGTGCCAGAACCAGAACCAGAACCAGGACCAGGACCAGGAGTGTTCAGGCTCTGTAGTTTCTATGGACATAGGTAACGGCTGAGGCGAAGAAAAGGGATGCACAATAATACTGAGACAGATCAAATATTATAAATTATCTAGATCATCAAAGATCAAATTACAGCTGATAAATTATTGGTTGATATTAATAATAATTTATTTTAAAATTGAAACTATTGTTCTATGGAAGCTAAAGTGTGTTTTTTGGATAAACTTTACTGGAATAAAATGAACATTTTGAAGCATCAGAACTCATTAATAGATTAATAGATTTGGTTTGAACAGAGCTCTGAAATATTAAATCATCCATCTTTGCTCACTAAATCTGAACCTTTCTGACCCTCAGGTATGTAAAAACTACAGGTTATGAACCTTTAAAAATTAAAAAATGTGAAATAATTTCATCTGTTTCGGCCACAAGAAGCAGGTAATTACAGCTGTAGATAGTTACGACAGTAGTATTATATCTGGAAGTACCAAATCTTCCATAGTGTTGCTTTAAAGAGGAGCATGTAATCCTTCAGTCTGTTTAAAAGCATGAAAAATCACAAAAAATTTGCAGTTTAAAAATCTTTTTCCAGTTTTTTTTTTTAACCTGATCATTTATTATTACTGTTTGCTTGTAACAGAACTTTTCATAAACAGCATTTATTGTGATATAAAAGTGTAAAAGATGTGTACGCCGCTCTGAAGGCCACAGTAAAAATGCCCAACTATTAAAAGAAAATCATAGTTTCTAAAAAATAAATCTCCCAGTGAGTTGAAATAATTCAGCTTTTTTTGGGGGGGGGAAGCAAAAAAAAAGAAGAGAGAATATTAACAAAAATATCTTTGATGGAAAAAGATTCCTTTACTTAGGATTTCCCTCACAAATGACGGGTTTTATGTTGGTTCACAGTTTTTTAAATAGCCATAAAAACCCATGATTTTAAAAAGTAATTCCAGTTAATGTCAGACACGAGTCTCGATCCTGGAGCCGATCCTTCGGTGGGCAGACAGAAAACCGAGTACTCAGACATTCAAATACATGTTCCAGCTGGTTTTTCAGCTCACGGTTTACGAGGAGTTTGTTTATAGGCCAGAAAAAGAAGCTGCGGCAGCAAATTGAGCTTTTAAAAACTCGTCCTGACCGTCCCATCTGCCAGCTACGAGTCCGTCCTGCCTCTGGGGGTCGATTGTCTCGTTGCTCGTTACGCAGAAAACACAATAAGTCTGAAAGGAGAAGCAAGAAGTGTGTTTTCCTTTGGTTGGGAGTCGGGGGGGGGGGAAACACTGACTCTGGAAGCGGCTGGAAGGATGAACCAAAACGTTCCTCCAGTATTCCCAATTGCACTTGATCGCCCGCCTCGGCCGCTCCCTTCAGCATTTAGTCGTAGTCGAATCCTTGCCGCTCGTCTTTGGGTCGATCTTGGCCACCAGCAGTCGGAGAGAGTCTCCCGACGATCGAATCAGTTCTCTGCCGCTGAGGTTAAAACACACAGAGAGGTTGTTATTGCACAGTCACTGAGGGAGGAGACATCAGACTGCGTGTAACCGAACTTTAATACTCACGTGTTGTACTCCATACCGACCAGGCTGATGCCGTTAACCGCCAGGACGCGGTCGCCCGTCCTCAGTTTCTGACACTGAGCGGCGGGAGAGTCGGGAACCACTGACTTCACGTAGATGCCGCTCATTCTCAGCTGCGTTCTCTAAATGAAACAGGAAAGATTATCCACAGCTGTGAGTTGGGAGAGTTACTTTAAACATGTAGAAAGAATTACTTAATTAAATATCTGTAACAGAACAACGTTTGTTCAACTGAAGCAGATTCAGACTCGCTCTGATGCTGTTTCCTCTTTTTCTGCCTTTTAGACAAAATACTGGAGAAAGTATTTTTTTTCCCTGATGGCGATTTGGAAAATGTAGGTTTAGCTGTGGTTTCGCTCCAGAGATCAGAGAGATGTTAAAATATCTCAACAACTATTCATCTACAAAGATTTCTGATTCCCGGAGGAGGAACTGATGTTGGTTTCACCTGTTAGCTGACGATACTTCGGTGTATACCTTTAAAACAAATATTAGCATCAGTGATTATATCTATAATATATATAAATATCAGACTGTTCACACAGGAGGTTTGTTCCTGTAACATTATTTATTGTTGAATCATGAATGGACTGAAGAACCAAAGCTAATCTGGTGGAAAAGGGGAACTCCTGGTGAACACTTCTCTTACCAATAGTTCCCGTTTGATGATTTCAGTGTTTTTGAATTAATAATTTTACCTCCGATTACTATTTAACGTCACACTGTAGCTCATAACTAATGACGGATGTATGTGTGTATGAATGTGACCACGAATGAGGAAATTAATTAATAAGACTTTTTATACGTATATGTTTCATTGTTTCCTCTGCGTACTATCGCTGGTACTAATAACAGCGCTTTAAACTCAAGTGGTAAATATTAAACCTGCTGAACATAAACATGTTAGCATTTTCACTGTTAGCATTCTGATGTTAGCATTTAGCTCAAAGTACACAGAGAGGTTATAAATCATCATTTAGTCCATTGAATGTTAGAAAATACTGAATAATGTCCTTAAAACCTAAAGTCACATCTTTAAATCGCTTTTTTTGACCAACCAACAGATAAAAAAAACAAAAATATTCAGTTTACTATGAAAAAAAACCTCATTTGAGAGGCTGGAATCAGAGAAATTTTGCCATTTTTACAAATAATAAGTATTAAAATAGTTAATTGTCTGTCAACTAATCATTTTTAATAAAAAAAAAACCAAGAAAGCCCAAATATCTGTCTAAAGCTGGGACCATCATGCACCACATTGGCTCCAGTCTAAGAACATTTAGTGTGATTAGATTAGATATCAGTGTAGTTTCAGTCTGTTGAGTAAAAGCTGATTGGAGACAAACTCATCTTACACAACGAGTAACTACGTGTTATTGAATCAGTGTTATTGAAGGAGAGAAGACGAAGTGTTACCATCCCGTCCACGAGCGCCAGTCCGAGACCATGAGGTCCTCTTCGCAGCTCCACCGTGAACACTTCCTCTCTGTCTTCCTCTTCTTCCTCCTCCACATTCTCCGTCTTCCACTCAGCGTATCCGACGGCTGAAACAGACACAAACACATTAAAACAAAAGCAGGTTAAACACAATGTTAAAGGTTTAAACTTAAAAGTTGAGTCAACTAAGTTTCATGGACATAAACCAGCATCCAGACTCCAATAAATGTTTACACACATTCAATTATCCACATTAATGACCCGGATTTAACTAATTTTCTCATCTGTTTTGGCAACACAGCGCACAAAACTAGCCAAACAGTTAACAAAGCTTTGGTGCACATTAGATTAAACCTTTTAGATTATCTGCTGAGCTGCCTGAAATCAGATTTGTCAGCTTGAACGGAGATGAGTTAATGTTATACTGACAGTTGTGGTTCTTTTCATTTAAAGGGTCAAAAGGTTTAATCTGATCAATAGTCAGATAATCCGCTGACGGAGCTATATTTAAGTATTTTGTTCATTTCTAATGATAAAAATGTATATTTTTTAATTTCAGGTTAATATTTCAATTTAACAATGAGAAGAAAACACTGAATTTGTCCAAAAAAGAAGCCTATTAAGTTGTATTATTGTTAAAAATGTACATAAATACAACATATTACAGACATAAAACTGTATAAAAAGTTCCTAAAATATCAGAAAAACTAATCTCTGATCGATGTTCACAGGAAATAATCTCGTTTTACACAAACTCCCTGCAGTTATTTAGTTGTATTTGTGTTCATTGTCCAGTTTATCAGTTCTGTTATTGTTGTGCATTTAATATAATATAAAATATATATAAAATAAAGGCTCTAATAAGGAATAAACACACTATTTATTGAACAGGTGTAACCTCCTGTCTTCCTCATCCTGTCACAACATTAACGCAGCAACAGTAGCATTCCCACCCCTGTAGCTCCTGCCCCCCCCCACCCCCACCCTCCCTCCGCCTTTTTCCCAACATGCAGTCTGTCTGCCCCCCACGCAGGACCTGCCCCGAACAATGCCGCTCCCGATTAAGATTCCACGCACCAACCCAACTGTAAATTCCCATGACGGATCGGCCACTGCTCTTTTCTCTCCTGACATCACCACCTCGCTGTAATTCTTGGGGCCAGATTAAAGGATTACCAAACTTTCAAAATAACATTAGCTGTTAGAGGTAGAGACGCTGGAGGCCGAGGTTCGGGAAACGCACGCCGCGATGATACAGTTCCCATCAGGGGGGTAAAAGAACGGGACAGTTCCTCTGTTAAATACATTATATAAACATCAGTACACATTTAATTACAGATTTTAGTATCTGATTTATCTTATCTTAAAACTATCTTAAAAATTACAACTTCTAAAAATCAATAACTTGGATTATAAAAGTAAACAAAGGCCATAAAGAGAGTTTAATTTATTACAATGTTTAATGTTGTTCTTGGGGCTGATATTGATTAATATGCTAATTATTTTCCTGATTAATCGATCGTTTAGTGTTTTAAAACATCAGAAGCAACAACATGTTTGTTAAGTTGCATGTCTGTATATAAATATCTGTACAGGAGATCAGATTCATTCATTAATTGAAGTTAATTTTAATTTAAGTTAATTTGAGGTGAATGGGTAGGAATAAATAAATAAGTGTATTCTTCTTCCTACTCCTTTTTCAATGTAAGATTGAATTTGTGAGGATTTATTAATTGACTTAGTGTACAGCGTTATTGTTCATTTCGTTTTAATGTTCTTTTTTTAACGTTTAAGATAAATATAAACAAACAAACAGAAGTCTCAGACCTGTCAGCTGTCTTATATTTCCCAAACAACAATAAGAAAACCAAATATATTTAATTTACTACAATGAAGGGACAGAAAAGAGGGAATTTCTCCCATTTGGGAAGTTGGGACAGTTAAATGTTTGACATTTATGCTTCAAAAATAACTTTAATTATTAATAAATGATAAAAATTAGCTGCAGTGACTCATTAAAGGTTGAACATGGCGACCTTCTGTGTCTGTAGATAGAAACGTCTCATTCTAAGTAACAAAAACACAATTATTATTATTTTTAGGGGATTAAACAGGAATGAAAACATACCTATTAATATTATATTCAGTTTCTGCCAATAGATCCTTTAAATGTTAAACATTGGACCTTTAATTATTAATTATTCGACTGTCACATTCTCTATATATCAGTATAAATCATGCAAATTGAGAATTAAACTTTAACTAATGATCACAGATACAACAGATGGTTCGATGTAATCCTCGAACCCTTGAACAGCCACAAACAGAGAAAACACAACAAGTAACCAATGAGAGTAAAGAGGTCTGATTAAGATCAACAAAATCCTTCAGCTTAAAGTCCTTCAGTAACTCAGTGGGGGGTCTGAGGGGGTGGGGGGCGCATTAACACAGGTTCAAACTCTTAAACTCAAACACAGTGTGACGTTTCTGAGGGTCTGGTTCAGATCTGAGGGGGATCTGGACCCTCTAGACTCTTCTGTCCTGAATCTACCACAAGACTGTTTAAGAGAAATCTCAAAATCAGCTTAAATATCTTTAATGTTGGTTTTTATTTGTGTAGTTTTTAGTTAAAATTGTCTTTAGCAAAAAGAAAAATGTAAGTTTTATGTATTTTTCTGCGTTACAGAGACTAAATGTGACTCTGTTGTATTTATTAGTGGTGAAATTAAACTGTAAACTGACACAATCTTCTCTTCGATAGATAGCTGTCTGCTCTACTTTGGATATTTTTATGTAATATGTAAATACGTCCTCCTGGTTTATGTTACGTTAGTTGCTGAGTGAAAGACAAATTTAATACCAAGATGTGTCCGAAGTGTGACTTCAAGTCGTGCTGTTTATATACTGGATTATAGTTTGTATACGTGGTTGTTAAACTGCAACAAAAGGAATCTAAAGAAAGTTAAAAAGCCTTTTTTCTGGTAAATTAGACACGTTTTTTTGGCTAAAAAAGAAAAATAATCTTGTTTTGTGTGAGAAAAGTGATCTCAGATTTGCTTGATGTCACTAAATCCTACACACTGGTCCTTTAAAGAGTAAATAATGTTAATGCAGTAACAACCAGGGCTGCACAGTTAATCAAAATATTATCACAATATGTCCGAGTGCAATATTCAGATCTCAGAAGCTGCAATTTATTGATAATGAAGGTAAAATATGTGACAGACGGCTTTATAATGAAGTACTGTGGTGCTGCAGTTTAGTACAGAACTGAAACATGATTTTTATCAGTGAAAATGAACAAAATAATCCCAATATGATGTTTTTATAACAACAACCAGCAGCTGCACTATAGGTCACATTTTACGATGGTCACAAAACATGGTGCAACACCGGCTCCTAAATGTCAAACACTGACATTACTGTGTCCATACATACATACATACATAATACATATATATGTATGTATTATGTATGTATGTATCAGTGAGGAGAATTCAAGTCTGTGACACTGACTCAGTCCCACCGATGACGTCATGACGGAGGCATCCTGAAACAATAGGGGTGGGAGAGGAAACACTCTTTCCTTTGCTCGGCGAACCCGCCCTGAGCAGCCTTTCCACTTCAAATTCCTGACCTCAGGAGTCAGTGAGAGATGAAGGGAGGACCGAGGAGGCGCTTTATGTTTGGGGGGGTGGCGGGGGGGTTACCTTCATGTGGACCAGGAACCGCCAGGGACAAATATGCGGCGGGTCCACGAAGGTCAAGTCACTAAATACTTTCCTTAATAGATGCAGTCAGTCAGAGGAGGGCAGGTTTTTAAGAGGTGACCTCATTCCAGACGTCGTGCTCATATTCTCCGAGTCATTTCAATCCAAACCTGCTGTGTGGAAGTGAAGCCATGAACGGGGCCCTTTGAGACGCCGTCGGTTCGTCGTCAGGAGCGAGGTTCGCTCTTTGTACGCAGCGACTCTCATTATCATGTTCTGTGGTCGGGTTTCACTTAATGTTTTCCAGCTGTTTGGGGCTTTAAAAGAAAGAGCCACTTTAAAAGGGTCTGTGTCATTCCTTCGTTCATTGATGACGACTGACCCCGAAATCCTGCCGGGCAGAGCTTTACGCCGCGGTTTGGCTCCGCGTGTTCAAACCCCAACGAGAGCATTTGCTGCTGTACGTCTGTATTTTATACGTTAAAATGATATAAGACGTGTTTCCTTTAACGTGAAATTCAATCCGGAGTCTGTGATTGTAATTTGACTAAAAACTCATTATCATTAAGATATTTATTAGAAGATCGAACACAGGTTGTAGTTCAACATTCAGACAATTATAATTTATATTAAGATTAAATATAAGAGTTGTTTTTTTCTTGGTGTTACGCCTCCTCCTCATGTTGGCGACCACATATACGATCTATATGATCGATGTTTAGGACCGGCTCTGTTCGATACAGAAATACTGTTTTGTTAATGTTGATTGTTCTCAAGTGGACGTATGAAAGAGAACCGCAGTGAATCCTCTTTTCAAACTACAGTCACACTATATTGGATGTGACTTCCATTACGGCGCCGGAGGGCAGTTTCATTCAGTATTTAGTATTTATTATGTTGAGTATGATCAACATCCTGATATATGATTATAGCAAAACTGATTAGGAGCAAACTGACTGATCAGAACCACCTGAGTGATCAATGTGTTTTGTCTCCTGCCGGTTCTGTTACCTTTCTTCTGTTGGCGAGCGCCCTCCTGCAGATCCGCCTCCAGCTCAGCCAGCTCCATACCCTGCGGGGTGTTGGGCGGCGTCAGCAGGCAGGACGGGTCCAGAGCCAGGCTCTTGTGGTAGACCAGGTCAGCCTGTCCTGGGAGGGTGTTCTGCAGCTCCAGGCTCTTCAGCTTCTGGGTCAGAACTGCCTCGCAGCTGCTCAGGTCGCCATGAGATCCTCGGGCCTGAGCCGGCTCCGCAGGGGAGGTACAGTCCAGGTCTGCCTCCGGCGAGGAGCAGGTAACCGGGTCAGAGACCACCTGATGGGCCGGATCCTGGAAGACTCTGACGGAGGGCGAGGTCGCAGACTGGCTGTCTGTGGTCTGAGGGACATAAAGTCAATCAATAACACATGTAGAAACATCAAGGTGTCTCATTTCCTGACTGCCACTGGCTTCCTCGTTATGTTTTTGAGCTCTGGGGTCGGAGGGCTCGTTACCTGTTGCTCCACATCGGGCTCGGCTTGGGTTTCGCCGCGGGGGAGGCGGCGTATGAACTCCTGCAGATGAGCGAGCTGCTCAAACAGAGCCGGCTCCACGAGGGGTTTACCCAGCTCCAGGTGAAACGTGCTGCTGGGCAGGATGAGCGGCGGGTGGTTGTCGAAGCTCTCCAGGATGTCGGCTGCAGGAAGAGAGAGAGAGAGAAAGGTCGTTACAGCTCTCTAATGAAATTCAACTTTAAGTAAAGCTGCTGTATTTGGGTTAAAGCCTCGTTAAAAGCGGTAAATAAAGTGCGGAATGATGCAACTGTTGCAGGATCAGTCGATCAGCAGGGTGCAGTCGGTCTGAGAGGTGAACGCAGGTGAGAGCGAGGCGGCTGAGTTTAGAGGTAAATGAAGCTGATTGGTGGAGACAGACTGACAGGATTCATTTAGAGGAAGACACCGACCGGGACGAAGGCTCATTAGTTAACGTACTTCTAATTACTGTTACAACATGAGGCTGGTCAGATTGATTTGTAGTAAATTGTGAATTTGAAATAAAAAGTGAAAAACAAGCATTGTAAAAGCATTTCTATGGAGGCCCAAAGGGTTCAATGTTAAATAAATAAACATGAACAAATTGTCTTAGACATAAGAATTTACCAATAAAAATAAAGCATTTATATAATTTAAGAATTGGTATTGGTATTTCAGATTTTAGAGTTATTTTTTTATGATAGAAATCTTTATTTTAGAAGTTCATAATCTTATTTTTCATTGTTGTATCATGAAATAAAAAGTGACATTAAATAAAGTGTCATTGGGAAAGATGCCAAAACAACAACTAATATGAAAACACTGTTTCACAATAATGTTTTAATAATTTATTGGATTTATTATTTACTTATTTATTATTATTTATTAATTTATGTTCAGAGAAAGTAACAAACTGTGTTCTCATTCGACCTAATGATGAACGACTGTAACAAGTTTATAGTCGGAGTACGTTGGATCATACGATATACACATCATACACGTCAGTCTTCTGAGTTTTATGTATCAGGTCGTTATACTTGTCAAGAGTTATTTATCGTGTAGTTGTGTGCAGTCGAGCATGTCTACTGTCAAGTTTGAACACGCAGGCAACACAATGGATTGTTCTGCTGCAGAGGAGTCTGGTTACTGCAGTTTACAGTAAACAGGGTCGACTTGTGGAAGAAAATCCTTTTGGTAACAGAGAACTGGGCAGAAAGCGGCTTCATAATCTGGTGTTTTACATTTAAGTGCAGATGCGACCGTCTGCAGAAAAGACTTGACGCCCAAAGTTCGCTGCAAAGTGTGTGAACTGCTCTTCTTGCGTCGGGGAAACTAACATTTAAGTGTCATAGCACGCAGTTTATCCAACCAACAGCTGAGTTTCAAACAACATACACAGTTAGCTTAAAGTTAGGACGGCACAATTAATCAAAATAATATCGAAAATGTACGATGTTCCCCCGACCCCAACAAATGTCACATCATCAGGATTTTAATCATTTATTTCAGTGAAAAATATAATTTTTACAAATTACAAATCAGTCAAAATAATCACAATATGATTTGTTTACTATGTCGTGCAGCCCTCGTTTATGTAAAGAGTGAGGGGCTAAAATATAACAATAAAAAAAGGTCATTTCCAGGATATTTGGTCTTTTTTTATCAATTTAGAAAACTAGTGTCTAGATTTCCAGGTTTTCCAGGACTTGTGGGAACCCTGTCGAGACTAGCACCTCTTTTAACATACAGAGGAAAGGTGAAAGGTCAGCACGTAACGTGATGTGATTTGAGTTGAATAATCACTTCAGGTCTATAAAAATAATGAATGTGAATAAAAAAAATAACTGTGAAAACCACAGGGAGCCACTGGAGACGGCCTCTGATCTACGTCTGTGTCACTCACCCGTCCTGACGGCGTCCTCCGCGTCCTCCGCTGACGGCGTCCATCCGGTGGGACAGGCTTTACCAGAGCTGTACTCCCTCAGCGTGTGATGAAGCTGAGCTGGATTCAGGGCGGCAAACTCCGTCCTGAGAGAAGCCCAGGACGCCTGGAGAGACATAAAACGACAAAGAAAACACTTGAAACTTATTCTTCAACCCTGAAGGATTATAAAAGAGACCCATTGGTTTGATCTTAAGAAGGAGCCACAGACGCACTTTGTAGTCACTGTGAGAATGACAGGGTGGGAGAAACCAGCATTTTCCCATCATGTTTGTTTCCACATAAGGAAACTAAGTCAGCGCTACTCTCTCATTTGCATGCAAAGTATTTTAAAACCAATTATATGATCTAGTAAATTGTTTTTTGTGCAGGACCAGATGCTGGTGACAAAGCCTCTTGGGAAAATGCTTCTGAGTGTGAATGTTTTAGAGGCCCTCTCACATTAAAATGTTTATTTTACTCCACTAAAAGGTGAGCGTATCGCGGTGAACGCGGCGTGAGAAGTGCAAACGTTTCATTATCTCAGCTCCTCGGCAGCTCGTGAACACTTGAGAAAGATAATGTTTGATCTGTTGATGACCACGGACACGATAAGGAAACAGGTGAGTCACCAGCAACATTCATGTGATTATTACAACGTTACGTAGTTCGTTCGCTCTGTTTACAGATGAATTGGTGGAAGTCAGACTTTGCCCAGACATGCCGGGGCCACAATAGAAACCATAAGATAAATGTTGTCGCGTCCCTGCCCTGCTCTTATAACACACACTGAGCTCGACACAAGGTGAAGCTTAAATGCTGCGTATAAACATTTTAAATCCTCTCTGTTTGTTATGTCTGAGATTTAACGTTTTTGGCAGCTTTATTCTCCTAAAATAACTCCTCAGAAGTTGCTTTCTTCACAACAGCCGGCAAAACAAACGAAGCCACATCCCTCGGGGTGTAATTTACAGCCGTGCCACTTCAGGTTTTTTAAAAGCCCAGAACTCCAGATGGAAAACTGAAAATCTGTCGAGGGTGTGTGCTGCTGTTTGCGGCAGCCACGATGTGACCTCATGCCAGGGCAGGGACACATAAAACCACCAGCTTCCTAGCAACCGTCCGATCTATCGGACAGACAGGACACAGACTCTCGACAGCTGTGTGACGGGCGGGCGGATGTTTGAACCCCGGAGATGTTTCAGGCTGCAGTCATACAGTGGAAACAGGTGTCAACATCAATTTTAACCCAGTTCCTCCAAATATAGATGGTAGATCCACAGAGGATCATATCAACTTTATATCTGAATTATACTGTTTATTATAGAGACTAACTTCCTTCTTTATCAGTGATTTCCAGCCAGGGGTGCTGAACTCATATAAACTGTTATTGATTAAATACATCCACATAGGTGTTTAGGAGGAAAATAAAAACAAGATTGCAAATTTGAGGAACAACTGTAACAGTGAAAACTAGTCAGCAAGCAAGCAGAAAGGTTTAAAGTGAAGGATGAATGGAAAATAGTAGACAGAAAGTTGAAATAGTTAGCTAAAACCTATTGAATAACATCTTTGACATATAATCGTTGGCTAAAAGTAACAAAACAAACTGTTAAAATAGATAAAAGCGATGGATAAACAGTGGAAATAGCTAATAGTAATGGATTAAAAGGTTTGTTACTGTAGCTACAGTTGGTTATATGGTGGTTATATGAATGAATCCACTTTATAATTGATCTATAAGAACATGTGAGTAGCTAGTTGAGCTCAGAATATAAACATATTAAAATCTCCTTCACTAACATCCCTTCAGTTTACATTGATCCCTTACAGACAAGCTTTGATCTGAAAGCCATATTTTATAATTATACTGTATAAAAGACACATATGGGGTTTTAAACAGTTCGTATAAGCAGTGTTTTCTATTTATAGCCTTTCTATTTATAGCGCATGAGTCAATGTCGTCATCATTTCAGGTGCAACCAACCTGAGAATCATTAAAATGATTCTGACCTTTTGTTTAACCTCCGTTCCTGATCGGTCACACCGGGGTAACTGTCGGGTTATATGACTCTGAATACCTCCGTGTGTTTCATAACCAGAGAGCTCAGCTTTTTCCTCCTGTGGTACGAAGTGTAAACAAGATCTGAATGGGTAACTAAGAGAGCGATGTGCTTAAGGAGGGATTAAATGTTAAGTTGGCGAGCTACCACTGCGCAGCAAAGTCTAAACAGAAGGTGAAAGCAAACATAAAGGTGTTGTTCTGGTGTTGTACTGTATTGTTTGAGTGATACAGTCCATTATTCCTGAGCACACACTGAAACAGAGGCTTTAAAATGTATGTACTCTAATGTACTTCTGTGTTTAACTGCATGTTTTCACTCAGACTACGTCAGAATAAACAGGATCTAAAGCTGATAATATAATACACACATACTGCAGCTAACCGGATGCACTTCATATGATTGTAACTTAGATAAGTGATGGCCACGCCTCCACTGGCACCGTGAGTCAATCATTGTGGTGTATTTACACTCACTCTGTTCCTGAAGGCCTCATATCTGATCAATGTGTTTTCAAAGCTACTGGAACCATAAAATAACAGACTTTTATGGCGCCATTAGTCATTTTAACCACAAAGTTTGAGTCAGTTGGCCGCAGTATGAGAGGCTGAGTGAGGTCCAGAAGATGTTTATATGTAATGACTAATGTTGTGTTGACACCTTTAGGACAATGAAAACATTGAGGCTGACGCAGGCGTGACTTTGTGCCCGTGGACAGAAAGAACAGGAAGGGAGACACAGACGGACGTCCTCTGACCTGCAGGAGGGTTTCTTTGGGTGTGGCCAGCAGATTGACGGCGGCGGAAAGCTTCTGGAAGAACTCGGTGGCCAGATCGCCGAGACCGATACTCTGGATCCAGTCCATCAGCAGGTCCATGTTGGCCCGGATCTGAACGCCTCTGGACCACTGGTAGAACCCAGCGACTGATCCTGAAGAACAAATACGTTAAATTAGAGACCTGGATTACGTGATATTACATCATTTACATACATGTAGTAAAAGAAGTTAAATAAATGGCTGAAACAGGTTTATTAAGGCGATCTGACCTCTCTCCATGAGGGCGTTGAACAGCGATGCATTGATGAAGAAGAACAGGTAGGCACAGAGCTGCAGTGAGATGTCTGGATGGACCTGGAAGGCTGTGAGAAGCTTCAGCGCCTCCTTCAGCACCTCCAGGATGCCGTCGAGTCCGTCGGGAACTCGCAGCTGACCCCCCTCTGAGAACGGGTTCCCATCCAGCAGCCCGGGCAAGGCTGAATACATACTCTGTGGAGGGAGGATGGCGGACAGTTTACAACCTCGGCTGCAAAGACAAGTAGCTGGAAGTCGCACTGTAGTGAACATCTGATGCACCATGGGAAACAGGCAGTGATAAGGCTGATAAGACTTTCATTTGATTCCTGGTTAAATCAAGTACAGTGCAAGAACGTTAACAGGAAATAATGTTCTTTTCTGTCTCGTTCAGCGCTGCTATGTATAGAATATATTGACATAATGGCTCAAATAGAGGAAGGTATTCACATAGCGCTCAGGAAACTGTGCAGGAAGGCTTGTGCTTCACAGCACAAAGAGCGACTGTGGGGAAACTACAAACACTGTTCTAGAGTTACACCGCAATTTGAATCATTTTACAAGCTATTGTAGAAACTGCACGTAAATCCTACAACAGGGATTAAAACCAAACAACACACTGAGAGTTTAAATAAAACTTCCTGCGGCTTAAAAAATTAAAATGTCCATTTTTTTATTGCAGAGACGTTTGGCCTCATCTAGCAGGTGGTAAAAGAAACTTAAAAACAAAAGAAACTTTTATCAAAAGTCTTATTTAGACATTAATAAAGACATTTTAGTATTAACATAATATCTGCTGTGTGAGAGAGTTGCTTTTATTTGCGGTTCCAATAAAAATCTGCAGCTCTCAGTTTTCAGCTGCTTTCAATCACTGTTTTGTTTCACTCGTTTTAAATCCCCAATAATTATCACCGACTCCTTTAAACAGAACTGTGGGCAGCGGCTCACCGCTCAGCACCACACGACGAAGACAAAGAGTACACAAAGAAAATCGTGTATCTGACAACAGTTGGTGAAGAAACCAGCTCAAATTACAGCACATTGGACTTAAATCTGTCTCATGTCAGGATAAAGGGAAAGTTCAGCAAATATGACAAAGTTATTTTTATAAAAATGACCTACTGCAGCTTTAAAATTAGACTTTTAGAGACGTAATAACAGATTCTTTGTCTTACAAATGAAAAGTAGAAGTGATACCCAAAAAAAGCCCCATTGCTTCAGTTCAACTCAACCTTTCCTGGTCCGGTTTGACCACAAACCTTTGGTGGCTATTGTGAGCTAATCTTAGCAAACTTACACTGTTCAAAATCATCTTGTGGCCACTTACTGCAAGAAGTTTGTGTAAAAACGAGTGATTTGGATAAATTTTAAACTTGGTCATTGTTCTAGATATCGACCTACTGTGTATATTTTTACATTTTCTAGCACGCCTTAAAATCAAGAAGGCCTCATGACCCCTTTCGCAGGTAATAAAACAGGATAAAGACTCTTCTGCAAACTCTTCACAATCATCTTATGAGCTCTTTTTTTGAACCACCACCTCATTGTGAGCTCAGATCCGGCTCTTATCGCTGCTCCTTCATCTGACACAGTTCTGCCATTGTTTCATATGCATTACATCACCTGTTAGGTACACACACACACACACACACACACACACACACACACACACCTCCTCACACCATGACTAAGATAATGACCTCAGACAAACTGAAAGGGGCCATAAAGAAGACAATAACCCTGCATGCCTGAAGCAACAGGTCAGCTGATAGTTTACAGTGCTGCTCAGCAAATTTAAAGGTGCTGATTGGTTATCATGAGGACAGAAGAGTATCTTTACAAATAGAAAGACTAAAAATTGTTTCAGTATATCTGTTTAACCTTCTATGAAACCAGTAATGCAAAAAACTCTTCTCTTCTTTTTGGTCTCTGCTGTAAAAAATAATGTTTTTTTTATGGATAAAAACTGGCGGCTGTGGTTGCCAGAACTTTAAAAGGATATTAGTACTGTTGATTTTACAGTTAAAGTTGGAGTTTTATTCCTCATTTTAAGTTTTTACCATCAAAAGAAAGACATAAAAATACCATATGAATGCCTTATAAAGAAAAGTTTTTGCCATGAGATGTGACGGTGGTTTTCTGTGTTATTTACAGTCTGTCATATAAAAAAATACTTTATTCCTTATAAATTCTTTTAAAATGTTGTATAAATAAATGTTTTTGCCATAAGATATGACTGTGTTTTACTACAAAAACTGTATTTGACTTATTTAGAGACATTTTTACTCTCTTTTGGCCTGGTGGCTGCGTTGATGCCCTTTTTACTTTTAAGCTTTATATTTTTAAACAAGTTTATGAAAAGAAGAAGTGAAGAAATGATTCGACATTCAGTCATATTTCACAGGAAATGAACAGAGAAGCTTTTTTCCCCCTCTTGACTTCCTTTCCTCTGTTGGGTGTTTCACTGATGACAGTTCGTCTTCCTCTGCAGGAAACTGCTGCCCATAGCTGCTAACCCTCCCTCTCCTCCCACAGAACAACAGTAACCAGCAAACATATACTTAAATTAACAACACAGTGCTTAATAGAGAGATAAACTGCAATGTATGTGTTACTTCTGTAATCAAAGCTCGTGTAAAATGTCTCTTTTTAAACTTCGGCTGCAGCACGAGCAATAGAAGAAATGTCTAAGTATTCAAAACAACAGCACAGGCTGTTCCTGCTTCCTTCCCTCCCTTCCTCAGACAGTTACTGTGCAGGATGGTGGTGTTTCTTCAGCCTCTGCTATTAACTGTGCTGTGATGTCGACTGGATTCTGCATAAACCAGACAGTCTTTAATAAGCAACTTTAACATGGGAAAGTCACGTAAATCTAACCTCTCTGGGAGTGTCCTGTCGGGCTGTAAAACAGGAAGGTTCACTGTTTAGTCACAAAGCAAATCCAGACTCACACCAAGATGTATTTTCAGACTCTGAGAAGAAAGTGTGTGTCCAGATTTTAGAGTTTTAAAGGCCTTGGAGTGGTAGACGTTGTATATGCCTCTGTATCTTTGTCTGGTGGTGTACCCCAGGGGTCCATCTTTGGCCCCATTTTGATGTCCTTATACATGCTTCCACAGGGTCTTTTAGAAAATGAAAAATGCCTTATCATTGCTAAGTTGACGGCACAAAGCTGTACAACAGTTTGCTCCAGATAATAGAGAGTAAGACAAAGATCCTTATTCTCTATCATGAAACAAGTTTCTCTGGAAGTATAGTTGACCCTGTCTTCAAATCATCAATCATTTTTTACTCTTTGTTTAAATTTGACCTACAAATAATTACTTTTGCAACTCTCTTTATTTGAGCTCACCTGCAGCTACTTCACTACAATCACTGGTCCCAAGAAGAGATCTCCCCAACATTGGCCTCTCTTACTGAAATAGTGATTTTAACGTTCTTTAATTCGTTTTTACTGTAAAACTCTGCATGTCAATATTCTACAACTAGACGAACAAAGGCCTTCAGTGGTTCACATAGTGGTTCTCACCAAGTCAGGAGTTCTGGTTTTGTTATTCAAGAAACCGGTTAAACCTCGGAGAGACAAGATTGTCTTTTTGTTTATATTGCAGTCAGTCGAAAAGCCTCCCCGCTCAGGCCTTTCCTGACTGTGAGTCTGTATTTCCATTCAGTTGTTGTGTTTTCTGTCTGGAATACATTCAATGAAAACAGAATAGGTGTTTACACGGTCCAATTTCCTGCTTCACATGTGACCGACGCTCAGGTTTTACAGGTCAAAAAGGATGTGAAACATGTCACTTTATGAATGTGCTGTGTGTTAAAGAACACAGTATTTTAATGTGCCAGCCAACCTTTGTTAGATAGTAGACGGACTGCTGGAAGGTGAACATGATGACTTCCTCCAGGACCGTCATGGCTTCCTCACAGGCTATCCGAGTGGAGGACATCTCAGCGTCCAACAGACCTGACGACGCACACAAACATAATTTAAAAACAGACACACAACAGCTGTGAGACTTCTGTAATAAAGGCCACACTGTGTTTTAGTCCACCTTCGTCCTCTTGGTCCTGCCTCCAGGGCAGCAGCTGAGGGACTTCATGTTGGATGAAGTGCAGCAGTTCAATGGAGTTGGCCATCCACAGCACCAGAGGCTGCAGACCCGGGATCAGCTCCTGCATGCTGAGCAGCTGGAGGTGCTCAGGCTGCCCGTCACTGGAGCTCCTGATGTAAAAATGCATAGACTGGTCCTGAAACGAGTTTTAACTTAACTGTATACAGCAAAAAATAATGGCAGTGACTCGATCATCATTTCCCTTTAGGAACACCGTGTCCGTTACAGTTATTAACCCTTAACCACATCCTTACAATCTAAGCTAAAATGTTATATTAGTCCATAAACCATAATAATTAGTAAGTATTGAAATTGCACTACACTTTTCTCTCATTTCTCTGCAAGTTGTAAATGAGCAAAGCAGCGCTGAATGGATTTAACAGCAGAATGTGCAGCATCCACAATAAAGTAAATAATAGTATCATCAGCATAAAGATGTATATTACACCCAGTTATAGAAGGAACAATATTGGCCATATAAAGAGTGAACAGAAAAGGCCCCAGGATTAAGCCTTGTGAGGTACCTTTTACAATTTGCACAAATTCAGATTTCTAATAGCCACAAAAAGATCAATAATTTATAATATATATATATATAATTCTGTTATATGAACTTCCTTAAACTTCTGTTTTTTTTAATTAACATTCTTCCCTGTATATGTTTTATATTCACATGTGTGTCAGATTTTATATCCTAACCTGTAAATTGACTCTGCAGATTAGAGTTAATGATGCTACATTTAGCCGATTAAAAAACCTTGAACTAATTATAATAATATTGATTAATAAAACATGTTGTGTCCTGGGATGACAGTTAGTTGTTGAATCTATTTAAAACAAAGTAAAACCAATCCAAATGTTTTACTGTGATTTAACTTCCTCTAAAATTTCTGCAAATCAGCAAAATCTTACATGCAGAGTTTGAGGAACTTCCCCCTTCTCCTCATGAAGCCACTGTTAACGTTAATGTTAATGCTTGTTCAACCAAAGCAAGTCAAAAGGTCTGCCGTCATAAAGGATGACTCTCCTGTTAGTGCTGAGGTGCTCATAGTTTCTGTGTAATGAACCAAACGACTGAACTGTGGAGAATCTAACTGATCTAACAATGTGCAGCAAAAGGTTTATACATTTATATTTGTGTAGGCGATTTGTGTGTGCTTTTATTAGAAGTTTATGGTATTAATAGCAGCACTTGTATCCTCCTGAAGGTACAGTCACATTACACTACTGTCCTTTAAATATTCACTCCCATACTGAAGCACACAGAATAAACTTTGATTTAGAGTTTGTTAAATAACTTGGTCACATCCTGAGAGATCAGCTGACACGAGAGGATAAAGTAGACACAAAACTCTCAGCTGCCTCTACTTTCTCAGAGACTGTGGGAAGTTCTCTCTTTGCACAACCTGCATTTTAAAAAAACTCATTGTTTTCTGAAGCCCACGGTTGTAAAATCGGACTTTAACTCCTCTTTTATTCAGACAGTAAAACTCGAGGTGTTGTATGTCATAATCTCAGGCAGCAGCTGTTGCTCTTCTCTCTGCAGCAGGTCATTGTCGTGTATTTCTGGGACATTCTTGTGGTTTGTCAACTCACGTTTCTGGCTGGATTGCTGCAAGTTCCTTTGTCTTCTCCTGAGAGGGAAAACACAAAGAAAAGCTGTAACTTGACTGTAAACTGCATAAAATATGAAAAATCTTTGTCATAAAAGCAGTGACTTGGTCATCTTCATTCTCTGAGGAACGCTGCTGCTGATCCAGAATGAAAACTTTGTTATTCTCAAGAGCTTTTTCCTAAATGTTTTTATTGAAATTTTACTATTATTACTATTTACTCATTTTTGTATTATTTTATCTTAATTTGATCTCTGTCATTTGTGGCTGGTTCCTTTGTCTTACAAATAAAGAAAATCTCCATTTCATTCATGCTTTACATCAACCACCTGATGTATATTTGATTATGGATGGGAATTGATAAGAATGTATTGATACCAATAAAAAGTCGGCCTTAACAGGCTCTTAGCATCAACTGTTTCAATATCTGTGTCTGAACAAACAAAATACAGTTATAGTTTGAGTTTCTTGGTGAAATTACGCCACAGTTTGCACCAATTCTTCCTCTCCACTATGACTCCTTCTTGTTTCCACAGTGCAGGAACATGGGACTGACGGCATTGTCAGAAAAACATGCTGGCATTGACAAAAGGAAGTCATAAGCTTGGATTCATATGATTCCGACTGATCTCAACTGGAACTAGTTTTCTATTCTCATCCCTACATTTGATTACATTCTTCATCACATTTGGGGGAATATATTATGATATACACACATTTATTAACAGTTTATTCAGTTGGCCAATTACCTGATGCCAGAAAGAAGGAGCAGAGGTTCATCCTTACCCACATAACAAGCTGGATCTGGCTGGCTATCCGGAGCAGCAGCTGTCTGAAGTGTGTCAGCTGGAACGTGGACGCTGAGTGCTGGATGCACAGGCTCAGCAGGAAAGCAGGCGTCAGCTTTGGTTCATTTCCACTTGCGTCCAACATATCCAAAATCTCCTGCAGGACCCTCTCCTCCTGCTCCAGCTCATAGCTCACCAAAGCCTCTGTGCCTTCCAGGTCCCTCCAGCGAGGCGGTAACGGCTTCCTCTGGAGCCGTGTGACAGTGAGAGCGGAGCCGCACGATAAACATGAGGACGACGTCTTTGCGTCAGAGTTCGGGCAGAGTCTGGTCATCCAAGGAGGAGTCTGGAGGGATCCTGATGTGCAGGTAGGATCCTTAAACATGAACAGATAGTGTTTCCCCAAGCCAACCAAGTCCCCTGGATTCAGTTCCACCTCCTCTTTAAGGAGGAAACCATTTCTGGTCACAGGAGCGCCGTGGAGGGGCTTCAGCATCGTCAGTGTCTTTCTGTGCTCCCCTGTGGAGGTTGGGTTGTTGGAGTCCAGGCGTCTGACGCAGCAGTGCTGGGGCAACACATCGGGGGCGAAGAGAAGGATGTCGACATTTAATCTCTCCTCATCCTCTCCGTTACAGTGCTCCCTGCAGCAGCCGAAGATGGTGGTGGTTCCACTCATCAGGTAGATGACGAAATCCTGCAATAGAAATGTTTAATGTAGGGCTGCAGCTTACAGTGAGTTTTGGTTTTCAATTAATCTGCTTTCTAGTTTTTAGATTAATACATTAGTTTTGTCTGATCAACAGTCCAAAACCCCAAAATCCAAAGATATTCAGCTCACATAAGAAAGAGAAATACAGCAAATCCTCACTGAGAAGCCGGAAATACTTTGACACTTGTGCTTGAAAAATGACTTGGTCTATAAAATGTTAGAAAATACTCAAGTGACATCTTCAAAAGTCTTGTTTTGTCCAACCAACAGTTGTAAACCAAGAGATATTCATTTTCCTATAATAAAGCAACAAATTGTCATGTTGGAGAATACCTAAACGACTAATCGATCACCAAAAATAGGTGCTAATTGATTTTCAATCCTCTGGTCAAGGTGAAGGATAGAGGATTGCTTCTCTTGTGTAACATTTTGGAAACGAACCAGCAGTGTGCGTGTGAACTGCAGCGGGGAACTACATGCGTTGGCAGCGAGACGTGAGACAGGAATGGAAAGAGCTTATGAGGTGAGACACCGGTGATGTCCGTAACCTTACGACAGTAAGACAATTAGTCATCAATGATACCGTATTTGTCTGTAGCTGCACATCCCTCCTTTGGCTTTGCGCTGACTGACTGTTGCAGAGTAAAATCAGGCCTGCAGCAGCTCTCAGCCTGCACAGTATCCTGCACAGTCAGCAGTCTCCACCAGCGGGGACAAACAACAAGAAACAGCTTCCTGTTCCTGGGAAGGGGCCGGGCTACAAGCCGCAGCCTGGCTCTCTGGTTTACTGGGAAAAATGTAAACTAGTGATTCAAATGGCATCAGGGATATTTCTTTAACTGTGTTCACATGAGGCATACTTTACCCAGAACCCTGATGTAGTGTACTGGTATTTGCCGGCCTCCCACTCAGTGTGTTTATACACTCTAAGAATAGCTTCTGTGTAGTTTATCCTCCTCTACAGTGTGTCTTTAATCAGGGTTATCTCCTTGTTTAAAACATCCTGAGCAGGTTTACTTCTGACTGCTAGTGAACACTCTGTTCCTTGTCCTTTCATTGGGACACGATGACAGACCGCTCGTCCTGTGTGAGAGTCCACTTTTCTGTTTTTCTGCAGCGGTTCCCAACATTGATGTCGCCAAAGCCTCAGCGAATAGTAAATGGAGAGTAAAATGTCCAAGCGTCAGGGACAAGAAAACACTGGATTTGTCAAAAAAAGAAGCCTATTAAATATAAAAAATACCTAAGACAGGCAGATAATTGTATAAAAATTTCCCTAAACAGGAAATTATTGAGTTCATTGTTTGGGGTTATTGTACAGTTTTGAATATAACATGAAATATACATAAAATATGTGACTGAGTCAGTTTAATAAAGGGTTGAAAGGGGTCCCTTGTAGGAAGAGGGTTGGGAACCAGTGGTATAATACAGTGGTATAGTGGACAAAAAAATATACTGAATTTATCAAAAAAGAAGCCTATTAATTATAAAAAATACATAATACAGACAGAAAATTGTAGAAAAAGTTCTCTAAACAGGAAATAAATTCATTGAAATCTCTTGTTTTACACAAACTTCCTGCAGTTACTGAGTTCACTGTTTCAGTTGATTTTACAGTTTAAATATAATATGAAACATCTATAAAATATGTCACTGAGTCAGTTTAATAAATGCTAAAACTACAGATATACAGGACATCACTTCCTGAGCCTGAATCCATTCTGAGAAAAGCACAGTGAAGCTCTGACTGTTTCCTTCCTCTCCACCTGTGTGAACCGAGCACTCGCTCTCTGACTCCAGGATTTTCTCCTTGAGGTTCTTAACATAAGACGGTCAATCCGACACTCTCCCGTACTTATTTCCACCACGTTGTCTCCTGTAAGCTTGTGTTTGCCTCCACTGGCGCCCACGCTGCCAGAAGACTCGAGGATAACACTAACTAACAGTTTAATCCAGAGGTTATCAACCTTTTTCATTTAGGGACACCTTTTCTATCATTGAGACATATTTTATTGAATGAACACAGTAATTGCAGGAAGAAAACGAGCGATTTGGATGAATTTTAAGCAGATTTCTTCTTTCGTGTGAATATTAAATCACAGATGAGTTTTCCTGACATCTTTAGTAACTTTTTAAACAATTATCAGTCTGTATAATAAAATTGGGAAAGTGATTAGCACCGTCACCGTCAGAAGGTTGGTGGTTCGTATTCAGAGAACCGGGGTTACTCTGGTAACCAAAGGTTTTCTTGGTTTTCTATGAAAGTAAATTGAATATTTTTGAGTTTTGAATTGTTGGTCAGACAAAACAAGACATTTGAAGACGTCACCAAGGGCCTGGTTCAATTATAACATCCATGTTTTTACTATTTTAATCAGCCAAGACAACAATAATCATTAGTTGCATCTTTGCTTATCTGTTATAAACTATATTATCCACTTTAAACAGCACTTCCTCTGCCACTCACCTGTCTGTGGCTGTAGCCCTGCAGCAGGAGGAAGTAGGGGAAGTCGAATGGCGGGTGAATGGAGTACTGGGTGGTGTTGTCGTCGCTGCTCTCCGTCTCCTCCTTCTCCATACCGAGCCGCAGGACGTCCTTATCGGCCTCGGCCTCGGGATCCTCCCTGAGTGCGTTCTGCCGGGCCCGGTTGGCCTCCTTCCCCATCGCAGACAGATCCATCTCGCTCAGACTTCTCCAGATACCGAGTCCATCCACGTCCTCGCCGCTGCCGTCCACAAACAGCGAGGTCACTCTGGAGCGGCTCTTCTGCAGTTTACGAGCCTGAGCGTTGATCCCTGAGAGGAAGACAGTGTGTTAATAAATCTTAACACATTCATGATAAGACACTGATGTCTAAGAGCAAAAAAAAACTCAGGAAACACCACTTAGAGTCAAAGATGTCAACAAAATATACAATAAAAACAGATTTCTGTGTTTTGTCAGGAGGTCACAGGTCATCCTTTACAGAAAAAACAACAAATATGAAAGAAAACAGATACAGATTGAGATAAATGATCGAGGAATAACTTAAATGTTGGAGTAGAGCTGCAAGGATCAGTCACCAACTATTTTGACAATCAATTAACTGTTTTGAGTCATCTTTTAAGAAGAAATGTCCAAATTCTCCGTTTTCAGCTTCTGAAACGTGAATATTTTCTGCTTCCTTTAGTCCTCTGTGACAGTAAACTGAATATCTTGGCACGTTGACGTCTGATCAACATTTTCTGACATTTCATGGACCAAACAACTAATCAATGAATCGTGAAAATGATCGACAGATTAACCGAAATGAAAATAATCAGAGCGTTTTCCTTCCAAGATTACAATTAAACTAATTTCTTTGCTAATTCATTATAATTAGTATCTTGTAATTTGTGTTATATAGAAAAAGATCAGGCGTAGATTCATATTAATGAATAGCTTTTTATAAAAATGACAAAAAAGATGCACAAATATTCCTTCTTACATAAATACATACAAATTAGCTCCTTCTCACACGTTCTCTCATTGGGCGAACATTTAGCCAATTAAATAATCAGAAAAGTGAAAGTGTTCCCCATCCCTCGGTCATTCAAAGTTTAACATTCAACAACCAGTTAACGACCACAACTCCCCCTGAAATCACTCGGCTCCATCAAACACAACCCTTCACTGGCACCGGTTCAAATGAAAACACAACCAGAGGAAAGGGAGGAAATGTGTGTTGGAAAGTGAGATGTGACCACCTCGTTCTGATACCGACGGCCGCTCTGTCGACCTGACGTAACACAAACACTATTCAGCTCGTTTGGAGCCATTAAGCACCGTGGAATGTCACCAGAGCCCGGCTTCACACCCGCAGCTCCGACCCTCTTATCAGCTGTGGAAATGGGTGTTCTCCACATTGTTCAGCACCAGTGTGACAGACTGGGCTCGGTGCCCGAATTAAACAAAAAAAGTTACACTGAAGAGGTGAAGGACAGTTTGCTCGGGCAGCGAGAGGAGAGGAGGGCGAACCACGAACTGCAGGTGAGGAATCTCAAGAAAGGAAAGTTTCTGGTGAATGAGTCTAAAACAAAGAATAATCTTTGTCTTAATAAGATATTACAGATTATATTGAGCTTAATTAAACCAGTAACAACAATGGTTTGCATAATATTCCAGCAGAGGAACTGGATTATTTCATTATTTTAAGAGTTAAACCACCACTCTTAAATCAGTTTAAGATAAAGTCGTCTGGTCCCAGTGGTGGAAATGAAGCAGCTGTTCAGTTTTTCATTGTTTTAATAAATAAATTATAAAAATAAAAATGTTTCTGGCTCCTTCATTTAAGATAAAGTCACTGATTTTTATTATGTTTGAAGAAATTGTGTCTTATTGTAAGATTAATCTTAACCCTAATCTTAGGGTATTGCTTGTCATTGCTTGAAATTAACACAACCTGCTTAAATGTTTGGTATTTTTTCTCTATTAAAGTCTTTCAGTAACTAGATTTTTACCCGGATTGGAAGATCTGATTATATTTAAGAATACTTGTTTCTAGATGGTTTTTGATATTGACCCATATTTCAGGCTACAGTCACTGGGTGATGATGATGCAATTTTAACATGTTTATCATATAAAATGTAAGTTATCACCCTGTAAAGACCCAAACTAATGAAGCTAATTTAAAGAAATCAACATTTTGGGAAATATCCTGATTAGCTTTACTCCTGAGAGCTGGGTGAGAGGATTGATAGCCCGTTCATGTCCCGTTCATTAAGACTGGAAACTGGGGGAGGAAACTGCTTTGTTGGCTCAGTCTAAACGACCTTTAAAACTCACTAATTAACACATTGTATCTCGTTTGTTTAATCTGTACAAAAACAAAAGAGTTAATGCGACATTTTATTGAGGCTGGTTGATGGCAGCGAAGATCTTAGAGCCAAGAGAAAGTCTGACACACGAAACTTGCCCGTAAAAAAACAGCAAAATGTTGTTTTTGTACTTCTGTTTTTGTTAAAGTTAAACAAACATGTTAATTAGAGAGCTTTAAAGTGCTGCTAGGTGGATTTTGTTACCATTAGACAGAAACTACAGCGGCTTCCTCCTCGTTTCCAGGCCTTAAGCTAAGGTACGCTAACTATTCTGATGATAAATGAATCCATTTGAGTGAAAACCCAGATGTTTTATCTTGTTTTGTACGAAGCAGCGATCAGCAGAAATCTCACACACACACACACACACACACCCACACACACACACACACACACACACACACTAATTAGAAAGCCGGTATCGGTGCAGCAGCGTATTGGTCGAACGCTGAGAGAACCACAACAAACTTGCGCCAAAGTCAACAGTCCCCGGTGGGCAGGAAGCTCGCTCTGACAGAAAGAATAACACCGCAGTGGGTCGGCCCAGCAGGGAGAGCTGTTCGGTGCCTGGATGTTTCACGGGGCCCTAATGGGCCCTTGCAATAAAACAAAGATAAGAGAGAGAGGGGCCACACTGCCCTCCTCTATCCCTCACTGCAGCTTTTGTTTCCTCCTGACCTCTCTCACATGCCTGCCATCTCCCCTGTTCTAGCCGGTGATAAGCGGGACAATGAAGGCTGTTAGGCTGCAATAAGAGCCGAGGATAAAGGCTCCTCATGCCACCACGACACCGGCCGAGTGATTGATTACCCAGATGTAAGGATGTGAGGGTCGCTGAAGAGGACAAGGTGTTGTATACCTGCTGTTACTGTGTCCCTGTCCTTCAAACTTTGCTCCTCAACGCTCGCTCGCAGCTGGATTTCGAAGCGCCTGGAGAAGCCCTCCTTTGGTTTCCACAGCGACTGCAGCATGAGGGGCTTCTCGTGGTCTCCCACCACCCGGAAACACTCCCTCTTCCACTGGTTGTCCGCGCCCGTCTGGCCGATCACGTCACAGAGCACGTAGTCGCTGGCGTCTTCTTTCTCCAGACAGTACCTGAAGGACAAAAAGTTCAGATAAAGACAAGAACAACCTGGAGGTAGAGGTGGGGTACACTATAACACATTGCCCAAAGTGGAGGTCAGAGGTCAGAGAGATCCCTTTGAAGATGCCCATGCCAGTTTTTCCATCGCTAAAGTTTAGCCTAACTTTGAACATTGCTGTTTAGCCTCCTTCACGACATGCTAGCATGACGCTGTTGCTTCATTTTCTATCTAAAACCTTTCAGATTTGAGAAGTGATGAGTCAAATCACATGTCTCTCAGTTTTTGATGATTCATCCAGTACAAATCTGCTCAGGTTCAATGGATCCTCAGTTCTTCCAGACTTAAAACTTCTTGCTGTAACTCTGTCAGACGTAATCTGTCTCTACACCAGCTCAATGCGACCCCCTCTCCTCACCTCTCCAAGGCCTCCTTCACCAGCTCCTTCGCACTGGACTGCGTTGTGGCCAGCACGCTCTTATAGTTGGTCCCCTGACAGATGTCGCTGCCGAAGACCTTCAGGATGCCGGGGACAGACATTTGACTGGACAGCTCAGCCGGGTCGTCTGCAGCCTGCAGGTCGCCGGGAAGGCTCCCGCCGCCCGGCGCCTGGCCGCGGCGTGCAGCGTCACGCAGGTTGGGGCTGTGGTTGAAAACAGTGGAAAGCCTGTTATTGTGGCGGCGAATTTTGCTCTTGGCTGGCTGCCGGACGCCCACGCTCTCCGTGGAGCGGACGGTGCTGTCCGAGTTGTTGGACCTGGAGAGGGAACAGAGGAGACGGTGAGATAACGAACACAATATCTTTAATTTAATTATAATAATAGATTATATATGGGAGCTGGTCTGACTGTACGCAGTGATTTATGGGTAAATAAAAGGATAAAACTGTGACCTCCAATCTGAACTAGTTACTTTTTCATTTATATCTAATAATGTCTCACATTATATTTCTATAAATATTAATTCTGGCACTAAATATTTATGTCAAATGGGTAAAAACTTTATAGGTTTAGGTTTATCTCCATTAAATGTGTCCCACATAAAGCAAAGAGGAAGTGGTTGATGAACTTTATAGAAGGTGTCAGTACTCTAATTACAGGAAATAAAGACAGAACAGTACTAAAATACACCTATAACACCTTTTATTTGCCTTTATTCTGCATATCATGACTAAAGGTGGTTAAAAAAATGAAAGATTATGTTTTTGGAGCAAACAATAACAAGGTGGCCACCATTATAACCATTATAACCATCATTATAACCACCATTATAACCATTGTAACCATCATTATAACCATTATAACCATCATTATAACCATTATAACCATTATAACCATCATTATAACCATTATAACCATTATAACCATTATTATAACCACCATTATAACCATTATAACCATCATTATAACCATTGTAACCATTATTATAACCACCATTATAACCATTATTATAACCACCATTATAACCACCATTATAACCATTATAACCACCATTATAACCATTATAACCATTATAACCACCATTATAACCATTATAACCATCATTATAACCATTATAACCATTATTATAACCACCATTATAACCACCATTATAACCATTATAACCATTATAACCACCATTATAACCATTATAACCATCATTATAACCATTATAACCATCATTATAACCATTATAACCATTATTATAACCACCATTATAACAATTATAACCACCATTATAACAATTATAACCATCGTTATAACCATTGTAACCATTATTATAACCACCATTATAACAATTATAACCACCATTATAACCATTATAACCATTATAACAATTATAACCACCATTATAACCATTATAACCATTATTATAACCATTATAACCATTATAACCACCATTATAACCATTATAACCATCATTATAACCATTATAACCATTATTATAACCACCAATATAACCATTATAACCACCATTATAACAATTATAACCACCATTATAACAATTATAACCACCATTATAACCATTATAACCATTATAACCACCATTATAACCATTATAACCATCATTATTACCATTATAACAATCATTATAACAATTATAACCATTATTATAACCACCATTATAACCATTATAACAATCATTATAACAATCATTATAACCATTATAACCATTATTATAACTACCATTATAACCATGATAACAATCATTATAACCATTATAACCATTATAACCATTATTATAACCACCATTATAACCATGATAACAATCATTATAACCATTATAACCATTATAACAATTATAACCATTATTATAACAATCATTATAACCATTATAACCACAATTATAATATGGAGGATAAAGTTGTACTTACTATACAGATCCATAATTATACCCATTATACCCATTATAAAGTGTTATATATATAATAAATATATAATATAAGTTGTACTTACTGTACAGATCCATTATTATAACCATTATACAGTGTTATATATATAATAAATATATAATATAAGTTGTTCTTACTGTACAGATCCATTATTATAACCATTATAAAGTGTTTTATATATAATAAATATATAATATAAGTTGTTCTTACTGTACAGATCCATTATTATAACCATTATAAAGTGTTTTATATATAATAAATATATAATATAAGTTGTTCTTACTATACAGATCCATAATTATACCCATTATACCCATTATAAAGTGTTATATATATAATAAATATATAATATAAGTTGTACTTACTGTACAGATCCATTATTATAACCATTATAAAGTGTTTTATATATAATAAATATATAATATAAGTTGTACTTACTGTACAGATCCATTATTATAACCATTATAAAGTGTTATATATATAATAAATATATAATATAAGTTGTACTTACTGTACAGATCCATTATTATAACCATTATAAAGTGTTATATATATAATAAATATATAATATAAGTTGTACTTACTGTACAGATCCATTGCTGGGTTTCCTCCCCAGCTTGGCCAGGCGCTTCTTTGGAGAGCGGATCAATAAACCCACCGGGAAGTTCAGGGCTTGTTTATGAACGTGGCTGCTTCTCTCCTCCGAAATCATTATTGGGTTATTTTTTGTTGTCGTTGTTTTTAGTTTTTTTTAAATTCACGTAAACACAAACAAACAAACAAAAAAACAAAAAAACAAACTAACGTCACATCCCCACGTTAAAGGAAAACCAAAAGCAGCTCCTCAAACTTCAGGATCAGTTTTCTTGCAGATTAAATCCAAAGTGAAAACAACCGGAGACATTTTCACTCACAGTTTGTCCGTTTCTGAGCACCGGAGACCCGAACCGAGCGCACACCGGGTCCATAACGACCGAGAGGTCCGTTATCTCCGCCAGGGACTGAATGAACCGGGACCTGCTGCGGGAGGCACGAGCTACTACTGCCGACGTCACTGCGGCGTCACAGTCCGCGAGGAGGGCGGGACACACACACACACACACACACACACACACACACACACACACACACACACACACACACACACGGAGGAAAGTAACTGAGTACATTTACTCAAGTACTGAAGTAAGAAGGCAATCAATTATTTTTTGGTTATTAAAGTTTATTTATTATCAAAAAATAACAGAAAAGGATGATTAATATTTATTTAATCGATCAATTATTGGCTTTAATTTCCCTCCTGAGGATCTTTAATGTTAATTATAATAAAGATAAATGATAATTCCCATATTCACATTTAATGGGTCAAAATAATTTATTTATAATCGATTTATTTATATAAAATCCTGAATTACATTGGAAAAGTTTAAAGTTTCTGTCAAACAACAAATTAATTTTGAGGTTTTGTTAAGAAATAATTTCTTCATTTGATGAGAAAATGCTTAAAGGAACATTTCTTATTATTATTTATATTATTAATTTAAAATGATGATTTAAAAACTGTGAAATCTGACAGAAATATGAGAATATTTGTTTATTTATTAATTTGTTTGTAGTTTTTGTTCTTTAGTAGCGTTGAAGAAAACAGTGTTAACATAATATTACTTGTATATTTTATAGTATTGATTAATATATGATACTGTTCATATATAAAACAGCCTTATGAAGCAGATAATGAGCTCTGAGGCTTCATGTTTACATCAATAGCGCCATCTGGTGGCTGTGAGGTTGAACTGCAGCAGGCTCTCAGTACAGTAACATGGTTTAATATGAACTACAGAAACATCTGTAACATCAAACAGATGTTTATGATAACAGGTTTATAGTTTTATAATGTCTAATGTCAGATTACTAATATCATCGATTTCATATTTTATTCAGTTTGTGTGATAAACAACAAATTTAATGACTTTTTAATGATTTTAATATATTTAAAAAAGATTAAACAAAAACTCTAAAAACACCAATTAATAAATAAACATATAAATGAGGGAGGGAGAGACAGAGAGAGGGAGGGAGAGAGAGGGAGGAAGAGAGAGAGAGAGACAGAGAGAGGGAGGGAGAGAGAGGGAGGAAGAGAGAGAGAGAGACAGAGAGAGGGAGGGAGAGAGGGAGGGAGAGGGAGAGAGAGAGACAGAGAGGGAGGGAGGAAGAGGGAGAGAGAGAGGGAGGAAGAGAGAGAGAGAGAGAGAGAGAGGGGAGGGAGAGAGAGGGAGGAAGAGAGAGAGAGAGACAGAGAGAGGGGAGGGAGGGAGAGGGAGGAAGAGGGAGAGAGAGACAGAGAGAGGGAGGGAGAGAGGGAGGGAGAGGGAGAGAGAGAGACAGAGAGAGGGAGGGAGGGAGAGGGAGGAAGAGGGAGAGAGAGAGACAGAGAGGGAGGGAGGGAGAGGGAGGAAGAGGGAGAGAGAGAGAGAGAGAGGGAGGAAGGGGGAGAGAGAGAGACAGAGAGGGAGGGAGGGAGAGGGAGGAAGAGGGAGAGAGAGAGAGAGAGAGGGAGGGAGGGGGAGAGAGAGAGACAGAGAGAGAGCAGCAACAACTATACTAATAGAAATGACTGATGATGATGAAGATGAAGATGAAGATGAAGAAGATGATGATGAAGATGATGATGATGATGAAGATGATGATGATGATAAAGATGATGAAGATGATGAAGTTAATTAATACTCATTAAGTCTCCTGATAGATTCAAACATTATAATATAATAATTAATCTGAATCTGTAAAGTTCATTTTTAATTCAAGGTCTAAAATTTGAATCTAACTCAAACTATTTTTTGTTTTCCAAGTGTTGTATTTTGTTTAATATGTTTTATTATTATTAGTAGCAGTAATAATATTCCATATTAAAGTATTAAACATGTTAATTATAAACATTTACAACCCTCCTAACAAACACATCAAATATTCATAATATTCACACATTTGTTTACATCTTATTACTTACAAACAGTCACAGATCCACAATATAAAACTTAAATATACAAACAAACATTGTTTACAGTCTCAGTATTAATACATTCATTAATTCATCGTCTATATTAAAATGTATTTACTTTTTAACTTTTTAAGTTAATATGCGTCTGAAAATGAAGTGAAACTGAATTGAAAAGCTCCAGTATTTAATATAAAACCATCATATATCTCCCCTACAGTACATATATACTCTCTCTCTCTCCCTCTCTCTCTCTCCCTCCCTCTCTCTCTCCCCCTCCCCCCTCCCCCTCCCTCCCTCTCTCTCTCTCTCTCCCCCCTCCCTCTCTCCCTCCCTCTCTCTCTCTCTCTCTCTCCCTCCCTCTCTCTGTCTCTCTCTCTCTCTCCCTCCCTCTCTCTCTCTCCCTCTCTCTCTCTCCCTCTCTCTCTCTCTCCCTCTCTCCCCCTCTCTCTCTCTCTCTCTCTCCCCCCCCTCTCTCTCTCTCTCCCCCTCTCTCCCTCCCTCTCTCTCCTCTCTCTCTCTCTCTCCCCCTCTCTCCCCCTCCCTCTCTCTCTCTCCCCCCCTCCTCCCTCCCTCCTCTCTCTCTCTCTCTCTCTCCCTCTCTCTCTCTCCCTCCCTCTCTCTCCCCCCTCTCTCTCTCCCTCCCTCCCTCTCTCCCTCTCTCTCCCACCCTCCCCCCCCTCTCTCTCTCTCCCCCCCCTCTCTCTCTCTCTCCCTCTCCCCCCCTCTCCCTCTCTCTCTCTCTCTCCCTCTCTCTCTCTCCCTCCCTCTCTCTCTCTCCCCCTCTCTCTCTCCCTCCCTCCCTCTCTCCCTCTCTCTCCCACCCCCCCTCTCTCTCTCTCTCTCTCCCCCCCTCTCTCTCCCTCCCTCTCTCTCCCTCTCTCTCCCACCCTCCCCCCTCTCTCTCTCTCTCTCTCTCCCCCCTCTCCCTCCCTCCCTCTCTCTCTCTCTCTCTCTCTCTCTCCCTCCCTCTCCCTCTCCCCCCCTCTCTCTATCTCTTTGTGGTATTGTGTAACAGGCTGGCGGATGTGAGTGAGCCCAGCCTGCAGCTGCTGAGCACAGCGAGCGGTTTGGAGACGAAACACGATTCAGGTCAGAGGCACAAGAAACGAGCTCTTTGTGTGTCTGTGTTCAGTATCATTCATTTACCTGTTGAAGAGAAACGTGTGTAAGTTAGGAGAGGAAGGGATGAACAGCACACAACTCCTCAAAGTCATCGATTGATTGCTGAAAAGGTTCATTTTCTACATGAGATTAAGTCAACAACAGTATTTGGGAGGTTTATTAGCCCCTCTGACAATAATTAATGACCCAAATCTGACATTTTTCTCATCAAACATGTTATTTTTTTTACATTTACGTCACTGAACCACGTTTCCATGAAGCAACTGAGCCCTCAGAGTAATCAGATATTCTGTCATGTACAATAACAATCAATCAAGATAAGGTTCATTGATCGGTTCCAAAATGTCACGATAACGTAACGGTGTGACGGATGTGAAAACAATGTCATTAATATTATATCTGCGAGACATTTATATTAATGACAGCTGGAATAAATACACAATGTTTAAAATGTTGTCTGCAGCACAAGGAAAAGCTTCTTCACTTCAAACTTAACTTGTTTACAGATCAATATACAGAACAACATGCCTTTCTCACTGTATATATATATATATATATATATATATATATATATATATTACCTTTTTGGTACATATTACAAACAAATACATTAACAAACAACTAAAAAAGTGCCTCATTCTGTAGTGAACCTGGTGCCTCAGGGGCCCTTAAGAGTCTTACATCAGTTTATTATGAATAAATGTTCTTTCTTACAGCAGCAGTGTCGTTCATATACACTTTACACAAATGTTTGTTAAAGCAAAGGTTTCCATCCAAACAGCATTAGCTCTAAAAACACATTTCCTTACTTTTATTAATGTAATACTTCTTACATTTATCATTAGGTTCAATATTTCTGCGTTTTGACTGTTAGAAAGACGGATTTGGCAAATAAGGAATTTGGATTTCTTATATTGTTATAAATTATTTTCTGTAATAATAAACATAATAATAATAATTTATAGCATTTTCCTTTATCTTCCCTTTTAAAAAACACTATTATCAAACTGTACACACAGCCGAAGAAAACTGCAGTTTACTATCAGGAAAGAAATAGTGTAACTTTCACAGAATTACAGCAAACAGGGATTTGATCTTTGTTTTCCTGTAAGCAGGTTCTCCTCTGATCTCTCCTCCAGATTAATAAACCCTCTCTGATGCAACACTCATAAACTATTTCTTCTTTTTAGTATTGAACCAGTTTCATGTAAGTTTTGAATCTCTACAAGGTGATTTTTAAAGTGAGCTGAACAGAGAAAAAATGGATTTTGATGCTTTAAGAGCAGTAAAGCAAAACCTTAAAGTATAATGCAGAAATAAATGTGTGTTATTAACTTTTGTCCTTTAAATATAGAGCCTATTATAAAATAAGAGCATTTATAGGAGTTACAATAACAGACTGGAGCGTAAGTTTCATCTAAATTGACCTTTTTCATTAGTTTGATGTTATTTTTGCCTTTTACTCATCAGTACTGGCACATAGGAGGATGTAAAAGGTCAAAACTTGCTGCTAAAAGTCATAAATTTGACATTTATAAACGTAAATCTCTGATATTAATCTCACCTTGTTCATTAATAACAATCTTGAGCAGTGTGCGCACTAATATGTGAACATATATTGAGTTTATCTGCTTCAGATCAATAGTTCAGCAGCTGCAGGAGTGCTGAGTAATACCTGGTACCTTCCCCTGATAGATGGTTCACTTTGAGGAAGGACGCTGGTGAAAGTAGAAGAAAGGAAGAGGAAGCGACATCAAATTAACCAGAAAGACACAGAACGAAACAGGAAACTGGAGGTTTCTACAAAATAAAAATAAATAATACATTTATATTACATGTATATACACACACTGGACCTTTGACCCATATAAAATGTGGAAATTATAATTTGTGGCTACT